TTCTCAGTGTTACTGATTACTGTCCCCTAGTTCTTGCTATTGGCTCCTGGCTCCTCTGGGGTTCACTGACCTTAGGTGTTCTGCACTTCCTTGAATTTAGGACTCTTCAAGACTCCCTCTAAAAGGCATCCTCTCATGCTGGAGGAATTAGCTTTTGGCTTCCGTAACTACAGAAAAGGGGTTTCAGATGGCGGTGTTCTCAGATTCCACCCTACCACATAAAGAGGACAGTTGGATGAGATGAACAGTTACCTTAGCCCTTTACTTTCTCTTCTGCTTTACTTGCTGGAGTGAAACTCTAAGGGGTCCAGGAGTAGTGACCTGGGGATAGCAACCATTTTAGGATTCCAACTTGCCAGGACAAGATGACAGCATACCCAGAGCAATTACCAGCTTAGAGGTGGACTCTCATTTCTTTCAGTGTTTTCATTTTGTACAAAATACAAAGATAAGGCAGAGGCGTGTCAGCATCAGGCGTGGTAATTATAAATCTCTGTTTTTACTGACAGTGCATTATAATTGCTAATGTTAACTGTCTTATCAACGACTTTGCTTTTATAGCTGGCTTATTTGGAAACAACTGTTGGCATTTGTACCATTTCTATGTGTTCCAGGCTGAAAAGTCCTAGCTCAGTGTGAGACAGATTTCAAGATTATCACAGTTAAAGGAGGAATGCCATCAGCACAATGAGAAAAACTATCAGAAAAGGCATGATTTATGTTTCTATTGAAGTCTCTACTCTGAGGTGCGGATGACTTAGTAGAATTTGCTGCCCTGGAAAATTAACCAGTATCTAGATTTCTCTGGCATATTTGAATTTCACCCTAGGAAAGCAGGTTCAGTGAGTACACTTCCCTACAGAAAATGATTCTGTACACAGTAGAAGTCTTTACTTAACAACCATTTAGATTTGGGAATAGATTAAATTCATTAACTAGGCCAATGTTTTCTCCCTTACTGTGGTCATTAGCTAAATTGCTAACTTTAGTTGTGAAACAGATAACCATGTTTAATGATAACCTAGACCTACTGTTACAGCATTTTTTATTTTAATGGGTATGACTAGAGAATACATTTCAACCTATTTAGTTGAAATTAGTTGCAAATTGAAAATATATAACCAATCAGCTTAAAATACTCACCCCTAGGTAGCCTTATATATAAACCTAGGACATAGTTTCTTCATCTGATGCTGTTGGCATTTTAGATCATTTAATTTTTTGTTATTGGGGTTTGTCCTGTGTATTGCAGGCTATTTAGCAATGTCCTTGACCTCTACTTACTGGATGGCAGTTCCAACCTGCCCTACTCCAATTGTGACAACTGAAAATGTCTCCGTACTTAGCCGAATGTCCCTTTAGGGGGAGGGGACAAAGTCACCTCTGCTGAGAATGACTGCATTAGGGGACTCGAGTTTGAGATTGCTGTTCTAGGAGCCATTAGATTTACAGAACTCATCTGCTACCTGGAAGGAGGGTTCACCAGTTGCAATGTGAGACCCAGTTTTCCTTTTCTTTTTAGTCTATGAAAGCAGAACTTTAATTTCATTTCCAAAGAGGATGGGCAGCAGCAAGAGCCAGCTTATGAGGCTTGTGTGGATCAGGAAAAACTTGTAACTATGGGTGAGGGGAGGCCCCAGAGACAACGTTTAAAGGAAAAGACCTTAGTACGTCCCTGTCATTTAAGTGAGAGGCCTTATTCTGTGGTGTGACATAAAGGGGTTTAGGTATCTGAGGCAGAGGAAAAAGGACTCCAACAGGTGAGAACAGGTGAATAGCAGGGCTGCCTGACTGCACAGTGAAGTCAGAGGACTGTGTTGTTCAGTGGCTGGGCTTCCTGTATAGCTATCACCTGGACAGGTCCAATTCAACCAAAGGCCAGGGATGGAAGTGATTTGTAGGTGAATAAATACGAGATGACTGCTGCCTCTATAATATTCATTCTAAGGATGCGGTAGGACATGTCCATCATCATCATCATGATTGTATGCCTTGGGTCACATCTCTCCAGGGAAGTTGCTACAATAAAACTAGATCCTGATTTATTCAACAAATATTTACTGAATGTACACACACTAGTGTGCAAGCAGCGCGCTGGGCTAATGTATGCATGGAGGGTCTGAGCTGGACCTGTTCTGTGATCTCTTAGGTTACTACTTTTCAAGTATTATGTAACTCAGATTCTTTTCCCTAAATGCATTATTAGAACAAATTGATATGCCATAATTTTTTTCTTTTTTCTAGCTTCACAAACTATTCCAAAAGTTGGCCCTGTAGTTTAGCCCACTTTCCCCCGCTGAAAAGATCACTTACTTTCATTCATAATCATCAAGGTTTCACTTAAATGTTTTCTTTTAATAGGTCTCACATTACTCAGTCACATCTTGATTTGAAGAAGAGAGCTCAGGCTTTAAATTCAAGCAAACTTGGACCCAAAATCAACTCTGTGGTTTTTCAAGGTGGTACATTTTATTATCTGTGAGACTTAGTTTCCTTGTCTATACAATGGAGACCATGACATCCTCCTCCACAGTGGTTGAGGGGATTATATGTAATAATATTTACTCAATAAGTACGGAATAAATTCTTATAAAGTGGATTTACATTTACGTTGCACAAACTAAACGAGGAAATAACTATTTAAATGACATACATATGGTATTCCTAAAATACTTCATAATGATAATTTTAAAAGAAATTGAACTTAAAAAAAAAGCCTCAGTAAATTGCCACTTTGTTGACATATAACCTCTCAAAAAGTTTAAGGGAGCCAATTTTGCTTTAGTATTGGGAGTTAAGTCTTAAGTTGAACACCAGATGAAGAAGTTGGCTTGTATTTACACACCATGCTGTACCAAAAAAAAAAGAAAGAAAGAAAAAAAGTGTGTCTTTAAACACCAGAATTACACTGGTGCAGCAAGATGCTCATACAGTGAGAAGCCAGCCAGTAGTCTAGAAAATTCAAGACTCTCTCTCAAGCTAAACCCAGAGAATAATATTCATTGAGGAGACTAGAGAGCAAAGCCACTGTCATTCCTTAAGTTGTTCATTCTTTCCTCAAGATAATTTATACAGCCATTAAGTCTGATGCTGCCAATAGTGGCCTCATGAACATCCATCAGGAGTCCCTGTTTCCTTGCTCCATGCATTCTATCCCAAATCCAGTTCTCCACACTAGTTGCCCACAGTTTGTGCTAAAATTCTGAAATCTTCAAGTTAAGTTTTTCAAAACTGTCTCTAGTTTCTATTCTAATAGTATAATACAAAACTATGAAGCAATTGTCAGTACTTATGATTGTTTTGTTTAGCCTGTTTTAGTCAATCCTAGAGTAAATCTTCTTTTTTATAATTAGAATTAATAAAAGAAGAAATCTTCACAGCTCACATATAGTTTAGAAATATACATTGAAGTAAGGTCATATTTAATGAAATACACATTGAAGTAGGTCATATTTAATGGTATTACTTCCGTTAGCAAGACTATTGCTGTGATGTGGCAGCATGGATATAGCATTATGCATTGAAAGCCCTTACTTTGTGTGGTGAGTTTAACCCCCTTACCTCTTAACAAATGCTAATTGTGTTGTGCTAACTGTGTCATCAGCTTATCTCAGTAGCCCTGTGTTCATTCTTGATACCTGCATATCTTCCTAAAATAGCTGGTAGTGCCTTTTGATTTTGCACTGCCTGTATACTTATGAATAAGTGCGGGAACATTAGGTTTACCATAGTCTTGCAGCATTACATATATTTTTGAATATCAGTTAAGATGGTAGTTTCTGTATGACAGAACCTCAAACAGAACATTATTTTTGAGATAAAATGTTCCACCCTCACAAAAATGGCCATGTTGTAATAAAAATTATGGCATATTAAAAAAAATTCATTGCTAAATATATTTTAGTTAAAAGTTAAGCACAGTGTGAGGAATTGAGTATTTTGGTTGTTCTTGGGATTTTCTCACAGAAGAGCAGTATATTGTGGAGTGTAAGTAGTGAGAAGGAAAGCAATTTTCATTTAACGACTTTTTTCCTTCTCTCACTTGCCAATTGTCGAAGACTGTATTGCTCATGAAAGATGGTTCTAGAAAGAGTAAAGTCAAGAAGGTAGCATTGGTAGGAAATGGTAAATAATGTTTAGATTTAAGCAAGTGTTTTCAACTAGTCTTAATCATTTCTATAGCATATTTCAAGAAGAAACTCAAACGTTCAGAAACTTCCACATTCCTATTAATACTAGATAAAAATCACAAACACAAATCCTTATCTGATTTCACCTTATAATATTTCTACTTCCTTTAAAATAAAAATGCTGGGTAAACTTTTATTTTTTAATAGCTGATACCTTTCTATCACCAAATATATAAGAAAGGTTTGAAAATAAATGAAATTATTGGAATATTTCTGATTTTTATTCAACCTTTCCTAGTCTCAAAGCAAATACCAAAGTTTAATACTTACAGGGACAAATTTACCAAAAAAATACTTTACCTTTTATCACACAATGTAAACAGCATCAATTTCAGCATAGTATTACATTGAAGAATAATAAACTAAATAATGAGGAACTGCATATTGAATACCCTTGTTTCTATAGCTTATTAAAAAATAAATTAAATTAATGATCTTAACATCATTTTACATCATTTTAATCTTGAACTGCCTGTTTTTAATCTACCTGATAGTACATGGTTTGTAATTTATTTCTCAATGGTTTTTAATGTGTTTCATAATAAGATTAAACATGCTCATTAGAATTTAAAAATGAAGTCAGACTTTCATGAAAGAAAGCAAGTCTGGCCTGACAGTTGGGTTTGACAAAGAGGACAGTCTTTACCAGTTGGGTTATATGGCAGACATTTTCCACAAATGGATTAAATCCACAGCTCTAAGGTTTTGACAAAAATATATTTAAAATGGATGACAAGGTAAGCCATTTTATTTAAAAATATCATTTTGGCAAGAAAGTATTGAAATAAAGAATATTTCCATTTTCCCTACCTTTTCTGAGTTTGGGTTAAACAGGCGCCTGTAAGTGAAAAAAATAAATAATACAATTAACAATTATTTGATAAGTCTTGGCAAAGTCTTTTTGGTATTCTTTTAATCAAAATTAAAGTAATTACGCTGGAGTATAAAGGCTGGGTAAAAAATCCTTTTGCAAGTCAGGTAGTCTTTACTTCTTTGCTTTCAATAAAATTTAAGGAGACAAAATTCAGTGTAAGATCATTAAAAATAATGTTTTATAGAAGATCACAACATGATGTATCATTAAGGAGTACAAGATTGAGTGCTGTTTTAATAACAAAACCCTTCTATTTCTATCTGTTTATTGTATAAATATGGTTTCTTAGAGTTTACTTCTATACAAATAAAAAATAAGAATAGAATTGATTTGAAATTCATTCTCATTCTAGTATTAAGTAAAATTCACACACAGGTACATGAAATAATTTTTTTAAGTTCCCATTCATCTTATTAAGAGATTGATTTTCTTTTCTTTTTTTTTTTAAGGATTTATTTATTCACACATACAAGAACTGGGATACAGGTGAGATGTGCCAGAGGATGAGAGGATTCACCAGAGACAGAGTGGGGAACAGAACAGGCAGACTGAGTGAAATACACTGCTGAGGGGAGCAGTGAGCGAGACAGGAGAGGTCTGCCATGCCATGTGGGATTCTCGCCGACCAGCTGGGATGGACCCTGTGCTGCAGAGGCTGCAGACAGCTTCACAGCACTGCGCTCAGCCACCTGTGTTACCAGGGGAGGCCCATGAGATTGATTTTCAATGCATTTTGATTTTTGCTCAATAATTTTTTTTTTAAATTGCCTATGGAGTCCATGATCCATGAGTCACTCTTTTTTTTTTTTTTTAAGATTTATTTATTTATTTATACAAGCACTGGGTACAGTCAGAAGCTCAGGAGGGTGAGAGAATTCACCAGAGCCAGAGCGGGGAGCAGAGCAGGCAGAAGGACTGAAGTACACTGCTGAGGGGAGCAGCGGGCGGCAGGAGAGGTCTGCACGCCATGTGGGACCCTCCTCTGGTGGCCAGGGAGCAGCTGGGGATCGAACCAGCGCTGCAGAGGCCGTGGTCAGCTTCACAACCCAGCACTTAACCGCTGCGCCACTGGGGAGGCCCTCAATATTTTTTTTTAAAGATTTATTTGTTTATGCATACAAGAGCTGGGGTACAGGCCAGAGATGCAGGGGGTGAGAGGAATCACCAGAGACAGAGTGGGGAACAGGACAGGCAGACTGACTGAAATACACTGCTGAGGGGAGCAGCAGGCAAGACAGAGAGGTCTGCCTCGCCATGTGGGTTGCTCCTTGGCTGGCTGGGGATGGAACTTGTGCTGCAGAGGCTGCGGATTGCTTCATATTGTGGTGTTTAACCCCTTGCGCCACCACGGAGGCCCTGATTTTCCTTTCTCTTGTTCCCATTGATAGCATGTTAAGTATTGCTCAGTTACACTGTAAGCTTTTGAGGGAAAAGGATTTTCATGGTGATCCCATTGTGCCCAGCATTCAGTTTAGGACTTACTTTCTATATATTGCACATGTTATGTAAGTGACAGAACAGTAGGAGTGAAAAGCAATCTTTAATTCCTATTCCCTGGAAAAAGGGGACTTTCCATATGTACCAATTTCAGGAATTTTTTTTTTTTTTTTGTGGGACCCTCGCCGGTGGCCAGGGAACAAACCGGTGCTGGAGAGGCTGCGGGCAGCCTCTGCAGCCCAGCGCTCAACTGCTGCGCCACCAGGGGAGGCCCTTCAGGAAATTTTGTGATCAAAAACAATAAAGTACCTGTGTATATACAGTAGACTTCATATACTTTATCATAAAAAGGATGTGTTATGTAAAACTGGGTGGTAAACTTTTTCTCCAGTGATTGGGAGAGGGGGAAGTAACACTGCTTCCTTAAAATGTGAATTACTTTAGCTACACTTGCCTTTCTATGAATCTTTAATCCTCTGGACACAGATGAATAACCTATGTTCTATGACAGTGGGCATATAAGCAGTCAAAATTACAAGTGTCTGTATAAAATCTTTACAAATTAATAAAATCTGCAGAAAATCATCTGTATGTTTCTGTTATGGCAAAAATGGGACCTAAGACTATATTTATAATTTGAATTAACAAAGTTTTGCTACAAAGAAAATGTTTTTCCTAATATTTGATACGAAGCAGGCTGTTGGAGGTACTTTCATGACGACACAGATCTTCCACTGGCCTGCGGTGGCTCAGATTGTGGTCAAGTAACATAGGACACTGTTTCATGGCTCTGTCACTGGGTGTGTTCCCTGCCACATTTTAAGTTATTCATCTGCACTTAATTTCAAGTCACTTTTTACTATGAAAACTCTAAACGCCTCAGTGAGGACAGTACGTAGAAAGTGTGCCAAGCCTCTGGTTTCAAAGTTCAGCTGATTTTGAGTTATTTGACTGGACAAAAGGTCGAAAGATATCTTTCACAGCAGGGAAAGTGTAATTTTCCATGTCTTTATGATGTTTTGAAGTGATTGAAGTGATTTCTCCCTAAAATTTCCACACACAAATAACTTTTACCATGGGTAATTATAATTTTGAGATGCCTTGGCAAGTAATCCTCTCCCTCCCATCCATAATCTAGTTTCCTGACTCATTTTTCATATGTGCCCTGGGAGGGGGGATTCAAAGGCGACCCCAGGATAAAACTCAGACCTTTCATGCTTGGACTAAAATTATGGAAAGTTTTAGCTTCTTTTTTTTTTTTTTTTCAAAGTTCAACTTTTTTTTTTTTTTAATAGAGGCATGTTTTTTTATTTTTTATTTTATTTATTTGTTTGTTTGTTTTTTTGTTTATACATGCACTGGGTACAGTCAGAAGCGCGGGAGGGTGAGAGAATTCACCAGAGCCAGAGCGGGAAGCAGAGCAGGCAGAAGGACCGAAGCACACTGCTGAGGGGAGCAGCGGGTGGCAAGAGAGGTCTGCGCGCCATGCGGGACCCTCCTCAGGTGGCCGGGGAGCAGCTGGGGATCGAACCGGCACTGCAGAGGCTGCGGGCAGCTTCGCAACCCAGCGCTCAACCGCTGCGCCACCGGGGAGGCCCGAAAGTTTTAGCTTCTGAAAATTTTCTCAACTTTGTGACATTACTGCAAAAGCTTCTGCTCTATCATTTGCTATGACATGTTTAAGCAGTGATTCAGAGAGGAGTTCTGGTGTTTGAGGTCATTCTTCTCTCCAAGTCTCTGTCAGGCCCTGTTACAATTTTTTGATTGTGCTTGCATCTCACTCATCCATGGGACCTTGCAATAGTCTTTCCTTTCCTACATTTTTAAACTTTCTTTTCCATACATGTTGTCACTTCTGCCTCCTAGAAAATCCTATGCCAGGGATGCTGACTTGAATTTCTTGCAGGTGTTATCTCTGCTGGCTACCAACGAATCGTTAGTGAATATTTTTATGTACTTTGTTCAAAATTGTTCATTATGATGAGGGACCTGGTACGAGTTAGACTTACTTTCCTCAATGAAGAGCAAATAGCCATAAGGTATGGGTAGCAGCAAGTGCATCAGTTAAATCTTGTCCTCCCTCTTTTGCTTGCACATAGAACTAGTTTCCTTATATGACCCTTTTGGGAGGGAAGGAAAGGTGGGAGGCAGCTTTCTGAGCCTCATTTCAGGGTATTTGATACGATTCCCCCCTTTTCATAGGTCTAAGTACCAGTGTGTACCTCTGGATTATCTCCTGGACTATTTGGTGATTAACACATCCTAGAACTATATTGTAAAATTTTCCCCCGTACGTGCAGTTTATATTTGGAGAGTTTCTTTTAATTTGCAAGTAAATTCATCATCAGTTCTTTGCCCTGTTGATCTTTTTGCCTTTGCTTCCGTACTGTCACTATCCTACAGAGTCTCGTCTAGCAAGTGACTGCTCCACCGCTGACTCCGTGAGCCGGTACACCACGGTCTGCACCCCCCACGCCCCAATTCCTGCAGGTCTTTGGAGAAACCACGAAGTGCCCGGTTGCTGTCCCCTCATTCTGGACTGACGACCATCAGCTATTACTCTCTTTTCCCGGGGCTTCCTCTCGTCCATCAATCTACTCCGTCGATTCACTCTTCTCCAGCTACTTAGGAAAGTGTCGAGCTGTCCCTTCTAAGTCTCCTCCGCGCGTCCCCCGCGCCCTACCTGACTGAGCGCTCGTCAGTCGGTCCTCAGCCCCCAGGCCGGCTCTGGGGCCTCGGCTGACTGGACGTGGGTCCGTCCCGCGCCCGCGTTTCCATCGCTGCCCGCTTCTCCGATTCGGCAGGAACTTTACCAGCCGGGAGGGGAAGGGCGGGTGCGCGCGGGTGCGGGTCCCCCAGCTCGCCGGGGGTGCGCGGCCGGGGGCGCGGGGCGCGGCGCGGCGCGGGGCGCGGGGCGGGGTGGGCGTGAGAGGGGCCGGGGGCGTCGCGGGCCGCCCTGCCCTATAAGGGGCCGAGCCGCCTCCGCCGCCGGGCGGGTGCCGGGCGGACCGCGGCGGCGGCTGCGATTGGCTCAGGCGCCCCATCCGGGGACTGGGCTCGGCGCTGCTCGTTCGCCCTAAAGGTACCAATATGGCGGAGGTGAGCAGGGAAACCGGGCAGGAGCGGCGGGCTGAGCGGGCGCCCGGCGGCTCCCCACAGTCCCTGGGCCGGCCTGGGGGATCCGGGGCCCCTCTCGCGGCCCCGCAGGGGGCGGCACGGCGGTGCGGGGGCCGCGGGGCGGCGACGGGCCGCGGCGGGGCCGGCCGGGGGGCGGGAGCGGGCGCGGGAGCGGTCTCCCTCCGGGACTAGGCCGCGGCGGCTTCGGCCCGGATCGGGCCGGGCGTCGGGCCGGACGGGGGCTGAGATCCGCGGCAGCGAGCCGGGACCCGAGGACGGCGTCGGGCCGTGCCCCCGGGCAGCTGACGCGGGCCGCCGGCGCCTCTGCGCCGCCTCCCGGGGCCGGGTGGGTGGAAACCGGCCGCCCCCCCCACCCCCCGCGGCCGTATTGCAAAGCGGGGCGCGGGCTGCGCCACTGCCCTGCGAGAGGAGTGTCCTGTGTCCCCGGCCCGCTGGATCCCGGCTGCGGCGCGAAGAATCCTCACGCTCCACTTTGCTCCGGACGCGGAGGCGAGCGGGATGCGCGGCCGCCTGGCTTCGCGGGAGGCGAGCGGGACTCCCCGTCCCGCAGCCCTGGAGGTGCAGGAGCCGCTGGGGAGTGCGGGGAGTTGACCAAGACCCTTGACCCTCTCTCCAGGGACTCCCGAGGCCCCGCTCTGCCCTGGGTCGGAGCAGGGAGCCCGGGCTGGCCAGCGGTCCTGGCCGTGTCCCCCGGGACTAGTGAGCTGGGGGGAGGGTGGTGGCGCAGCACGAACCCCTCGGCTGGTCCTCGCTGCAGCGGGGGGGCTCGCTGGAGGACCTGGGGAGGGACTGGACACCCTGGAAAGAACAGGCACCTTTGGGACTGAGGGGGGGGTGTCTTTGATCGCAGGAGAGAGGCTGGGGGCCTCGCGCGGTGGCTGGGGGCGAGTGTCCGCTTTCCTGCCTGCCCATGCGCGGGGCCCGAGGACAGCCTCGGAGTTGGAACTCCTGGGCCCCAAGGGGGTGAGCTGGGTGCTGGGAGAGCGAGTCCGTTTTAGGGAAGGGTGATGTGTTGCGAAGTGCTGTCTGGGCTGTGGAAGGCCGGGGAGGGGGGGATCTGGGGGCACCCCCGAGGTGCAGGGGCTGAGGGACCGATGCTGCGAGTCTAGTGCTCTGTTTGGCGTCTCCACTTTGTAACGCGCTGAGCTCCGAGGGGCGGTTTGGAGTTGCCTGGTAGACTCCGGGTTTCGTCCCGGGTCTGCGAGTCTGTACACTGGGGACCTGAGGAGGAAGGCGAGGCAGCCAAGAGGGGCCCGAAAGGGGCCGGGAACCATTGGAGCTGAGCTACGTCTTGTACTTTTGGCAGCTGCGGAGGAGCGCGGGGCTCCGCCTCTTCTGCGCCCTGTTGCCGGCGCTGCCTCTTCCCCGGGCTGCGCGATCTAACTGCACGTTTCTTCTCTCTCTCTCTCTCCCCTAGGCTTCTTTTGGAAGTTCGAGCCCAGGTTTGTCCTGTTTTCTTTGCTTTTCTGTGGGTTCCAGAGGGTATCGGGGGTCTGGAGGTCTGTTGCTAAAGGTTTTCCTCCCAAAATTTGTCCTGCGAGCTTTTCATTTCTTTTTAAGAGTTTCAGCGCACATTTGGTAATTAAGCTGTTGGAGGAAGGAACTATATTAAACTGTCCCTTTTCCCCTTGCACGTTGAAAAAATAGCGTGTTACAAAGCTGTTAACAAGTGTTCTTTGTCAGTAATGCCTTTAGCTCTCATACATCTTATTTTTTCTTCAAGCTTGAAACAGGTAAGCCCAAATCAGCTTTCCACTAACCATAGCAATTAAGTTAAGATTTTAATTTTGGTTTCTTATAGAAATCGACTTTATCAAAGTCTGGGTTGCTTCTATTAATTATTAATCATAATTCCCCATTTCCACTTGTTTTGTCTCATAAATTTTACATAATTGACAAAGATGTATACATTGTGTTAAAGTTGAAAAATGAAAGGTAAAGCTGCCTTAATAAAAATGAAAACAAAAACAGTTTCCAAGTTTGGCACAGAAAAGTGGTAGTACAGAATTTTTGAGGTGGGCCCCTTCTTGGCTGCCTCTTATCCCTCTCATAGTCTCATTTTACTATTGAGAATACTTTTAAATAACTCTGAGAGTCACCTACTTAATAGCAGAGCCTGGATGAGCTTCCAAGTCTTCCATTACATGTTGCCTTTGAGTGACAGTCCATTGCATATTACTTTATTATTATGTAAGGTATTATAAAATAACACCAAGTAGAAGAAATTTGTGGCTATTTTAAAAATAGCTGTCTACACCTTTACATTTAAAATATGTTTTAAGGTTTCTCTAATTTTGAATGAAACATTTCTTTGTTATAACTAGTTGACTTCAGGAAAACAGTATTTATTTATGTACATGATGCCAAACATCTGGATGATAATGGAATTTTTCCATTTTGCATCACTGTCTGCTTTTAAGAAGTGGTAATCTAAATAAAAAGCAAAAAGACTGGTTTTGGTCCTTAAGCAGACTTATAATCTGTTTTTAATCAATTACCCGATCTTCTAGAGAATTTTAGAGCTACATGAAATTCTTGAGGTCATCTAAGCCAACCCTATGTATTTACAAATGAAAAACTAGAGCTAGCTCCAGAAAGCTTAAAAAGACTTGCCTAGGTCTCAGAAAGCCAGGGACAAAGCCAAGGATAGACCCTCAGACCCTTCCATTTCTGATCCATGTTGAATACCTTCTACATTAAGGGTGAAACCTTCTGTGCAAGTGATAAGTATGTTACAGAAGGCAGAACTTTGCTCTCAAAGAGTCCTAATTTTGCCCTCAACAAGGTAGAATAGATAAATCATCCCTGACACCAACATGCAGAGGTATCCAGGAATCTCTCAAAAACAGAAATTTCTAATGGTGGATATTCTGCTTTTCAGTTATTGGATAACTATGTTCTTTTCTCTTTAAAAGTGATTCATACCATCTATAAACTTATTAGGTTTTAAGTGAACAGATAATACCTTTCAGCATTAAAAAATTCTGTACTATAAACCTAATGAATTTAAGTTTCATTGGAATTGTATTTTTAAGATTAATGATTAGAGCTCTTTGAACTCAGAATCAAAAACTTTGAAATTTTTGTCTGTTTTTTTTTTTTTTTTTTTTCCCTCCTGTGAAACATCTTTGGCTTAGTTCACTGTATTGGTAATGATCTCACAGCCCTTAATTGTTTGAAATTTTAAATATTTGAAAACAACTAAAAACAAATCCAGCTTTTTATGTTGCATATGCTTTCTTCCACATTTCCATTCCCCTATCCCAAAATTCTGATACTTATTTCCTTCCTTACTCTAAGAATCACTGATTTAATTAGATATTTTAATAAAACAAATGTTTACAATTTCATAGCTTTGATTTTTATTACCTTGGAATTATGAATCTTACTCATTTTGCCACTTGGTTTTTGGATTATCCTCTTGACTTCATATTTGCCATTAAAAAGCATTACGGCTTTATAAGCAAGATTGAATTAATATTGGTTAATTCAACTTGTAAAATGATACATCTTCTGAAAACTTTAGATATGATTTTCTGTATTTCTTTGTATAATTTTTAAGAACTTCATTAATCCAGAGTAATCCAGAGAAAGTATGCTCTGACAGTATGATGCATTATCTGATTAATGTTAAGGGACTTGAAATACCATTTAAGACATAAAAGTGCTATAGTGCTTTTAAAGACTGAATTGCTCTGTTGCTGTTTCACAGAAATTTGTTTTTGTTCCATAAACAGATTTCTGTTGTGTTTTGCACCTTTACTAGAGTGTTAAATTTAGGTAAAATTTATATTCTCTTCTCCCAAAGCATTTGGCCTGAGTGTATAACAGATTCCTGTCAAACTTTTCATTCATAATCCTTTTTTTTTTTTTTTTTTTTTTTTATATAGAGCATGCTTTATTTATTTGTTTGCTGGTTTGTTTGTTTGTTTTTTGTTTATACATGCACTGGGTACAGTCAGAAGCGCGGGAGGGCGAGAGAATTCACCAGAGCCAGAGCGGGGAGCAGAGCAGGCAGAAGGACCGAAGTACACTGCTGAGGGGAGCAGCGGGCGGCAGGAGAGGTCTGCGCGCCATGTGGGACCCTCCTCTGGTGGCCGGGGAGCAGCCGGGGATCGAACCGGCGCCGCAGAGGCCGCGCGCAGCTTCGCAACCCAGCGCTCAACCTCTGCGCCACCGGGGAGGCCCTCATTCATAATCCTTTTGACAGTTTTCTGTTGTTTTTAAACATAATGTATGTTAAACTAACTCATAAGTTTGACTTTTCTTTTAGAACACTTTTTCAGATCCACTCCATTTAAATCACTGTGCTGCTATTATAACTTGTGTTCTCATGAGCTATATTCCTTATAAAAGTGTTTGTAAATTACTCTGCCTCTTCAGAACATATGATCTCACTTTATAACCTGTAAAGGATATAGTAAATGCATTTTATAAAATTCACATATAAACATTAAAAGGAACCAGCAGAAGAACACAAATTATTTTCTTTTATAAGTAACCTGTGAATATGTAAAGTAATTCAGTTTGTTTCATTCCAGTTGGGTCTTTGTCTTCTGAGGATCATGATTTTGACCCCACTGCTGAGATGTTGGTCCATGACTATGATGACGAAAGAACTCTTGAAGAAGAGGAAATGATGGATGAGGGCAAAAACTTTAGCTCTGAAATTGAAGACTTAGAAAAGGTAAAGGAATTTTAGTATTTTAATGCAAATACAGTAAAGATTTTGAAATTCCATTGTAAATTACTATCTACCTGAAATGAAAATAGGATTGCATCTCTATGTTTGCAGAATGTTACTCATTTTTTTGGAGGGTACCTGAATAAATGAATTTTCATTTAATTTTCAAAATTGTATCTGTTAACCTAATTTTAAAATTTATACCAGCACAGTGAAGTGGGTACACCTGATCATCTACAGGTGAGCATATTGAGATATAGAGAACTGTGGATCCTAAACTTAGTTTTGAATCCATGCCTAGCCCTCTTCACATCATACATTATTGTACTGAATACCTGAACTTGAGTTTAACTGATCATTGAAGTAGATACAGGAGAAGCCTTTTCTTTCAAATAATTTATAATCTGGTAGAAAACTGTAATAAAAGTGAAAGAAAAACCTTTATCTTATTTTAAAATATGTTAGTAATATTCCAGTCTCAACCCCAGTTAGTTACCTTTTAAAGAATTGGCAGGAGTCCATGTAATTTTTAACATTTTAAACTGAAACCAATATAAAAATCAAATGAATTGGATTTTAAACACATATTTATACCAGGGCTATAGGGAAAGGCCTCCATAGGGGTCACCTTGAAAAAATGTCGGATTACATTTATCTATAAAGTAACCTTATTTGCAAATTTCTTGTCAGCCCAGAATAACAAAAGCTTTCAGGAATAATACTGAATAATAATAACCCTTATGAGTTTTCATACCTCTTTCTTGAAAACAAAACACATTCTTATATAATTTCCTCTCCTGTCTTTGTTAGGCTGGGGTAAGTTATTGCATTTCTTGCTTCATATTAATACATAATGAAGCAGAAAGCAGAATCTTCAGGGCCTAAACCCCAGGCTTTTCCTGTGAATCTTAAATTTTCTAAACACATCCATTCGACAAATCCAATATAGCTGCAGTTAGATTTATTCATTAAAATATATAATGTATAATATATATGTGTGTGTGTATGTACTTGTATGTTTACATACCTATACATTTATCTCCTGTGAAAGCCAAACAGATTTGGAAATAGAGCAGTAAAATCACTAAAATGAAATACTCAAGAAGAAAAGTTTTGCCTATTGCTCCTTTCAGGGGTAATGCTGAAATGTTGCCTGTTGATGAGACTAGATGAGAAAAGATAGTCAAGCGTGTCACACTCTGCCTTGGCTTTATTCAGGCAATTCCTTCTTACCTCTTAAGAGTGGGTAGCCTAGATAATCCAACTAGCATTGCCAATAGGCAAAGGGTTGTGGTAGTTCCTAGGATTGCAAAAATGAGCAATATGGCAATGTCCCTGAACTGTAGGAGCTACAGTCTAATATAGGGAGTCAAACAGAAAAAAGAGCTGTGGGAAAAAAGGTTTATGTATTTAGTGAAAGATGTTTGGCCTGGTGTGGAATAGACATATCTGTCCTGTAGTTTTTAAAACAGAACACTGCTGTGGGCATGAAGCAAAGGTCCCAGGTGGTCGCATAAATGCACCTTCCTTGATGAATTTGTATTAAAGATAGGTAGATGGCTGTCTAATTTCTGCATGACTTAAGAAAATGATTTAATTGTGCCAGATTGCATTTTAGCCATGCAAGTAGCTGCTTTGTTAGTGAGTGTGCGTAATCTGGTAGACATTTTTATATGCCAATGAAATTTTATTTTTTATTTTTATGTTTTATTCTTTTAGAAATTGTAGTAATAATTGCTTTGATCTATGTTTAGTGAGTTTTAAAAGGAAATTGGGAGACGTCTAGAGAAACAACAGCAAAAAGTTTCTTGCTTAACCATTCTTATAAATACCCAGTTCCTATTCCATAATTTTCGTTTTGTTTAGGAAATCTTTTTGTAACATTTATCACTGAATTTGCAGATTTGGAAAAATTATAGGCCTTTAATTATTTCAACTTCTCTGTACTGGGACAGTTTTATATTCTTGGAAATTGGGACAGGAAAATACAGGTGATTCCTAACAATTCTAGTGAAAACCTAAGAGCTGTGTATCTACTCAGAAGGCTGTGTATCTACTCACTCATTGAAAGAAGGACAAGAGGAGTGATTTCTAAGAGTGACTGCCCACTTCCTTTGAACTGTGATTCTTATCTGTAGTAAAAAAAGAAATTTAAATTTTTTTCTATACAATTTAAAATAATGTTAAATTCACTGAAACAGTAATTTAGGCATTGATACATGTTAATAGTTTTAGGGACTTGATGTTAATGTTCTTTTTCAAAAATTACAGTAAGTTTTTATATTCGTAGTAAATAGTAATAGTTTGGTGGTTACTTAATTTTAGTCATGTAGGTTATAGAAGGTAAGAGAGGTACAAAATCAGTTTTCTTACAGTAACACTTTGCTAAGTATAGAGAATAGTTTATGTGACTAGATTTTTGTTATTAAACATTAAAATAGGATTTATGTAACATCTCTGTGTATTTTCATTTTTTCATGTTACTGTTTCCTGAAAGGTTTTAACTTAATAGTCCTAGATTTGGGGCCTCCCCGGTGGCGCAGCGGTTGAGCGCTGGGTTGCGAAGCTGCCCGCAGCTTCTGCAGCACTGGTTCTATCCCCTGTTGCTCCCCGGCCACCGGAGGAGGGTCCCACGTGGCGTGCAGACCTCTCCTGCCGCCCGCTGCTCCCCTCAGCAGTGTGCTTCCGTCCTTCTGCCTGCTCTGCTCCCCGCTCTGGCTCTGGTGAATTCTCTCACCCTCCTGCGCTTCTGACTGTACCCAGTGCTTGTATTAAAAAAAAAAAAAAAGTCCTAGATTTGGAGCTATAACTTTTTAAAAAGTTTTTAACATTTCTGCTTTTATTAATATGTCAATTTTTCTCTTAATGTTTTTTGTCCAGTGAGAAAGTAGAAATCAGCTTTTTTGCCACTTAGACTTTGCTATAGTTTTCCTTAAAAGCATTTAAAAAAGTTGTGTGTATATTTTCTTGCAACCTTTATTTTAAGATAATCAGAGAGGTATTATATTGAAATTGATCTGTACTCCCCTTAGATAATTTCAGCTATGTTAGATGAGTATTAGCTTACTTCCTTGACTCAGAGACCTTGTTGATTGTAAGATATAGCATAGATTCAGAAATAGGTGGTGGCAGGAAGGAACATTGCTATGTGAAGTCTGTACTTTGGGAATGGGATGCATCCTGATTTCTGATCGGTAAGAATTTGTGTCATAGGGTCAAGGAAATTATGGCATTTTTTCTATTTACAGATGAGGAATTGGAGGTGAGAAGACTTAGGTGATTTGCTACAGTATTAGCGAGTCCTCTGCCTCTAAATCTTTTCCTGATATAAGCCTTTCAACTTATACAGCAGTTTATTTGTAAGTGTGACTAGATTTAAATGTGTCCCTTAAAATGTATGTAGGTTCAACAAAATACCTGAAAAAAAAAAAGAAGAGAAAAATCCTCATACCTGGATAACATGTTGGGTCTAACAAGTTCTTGTAGTCACAAGAGAGCTCAGAGATTTTGAGATTTGCTAATTCAGAATTTGATAAATTTTGAAAAAAAATTATTTTGTGCTTCAAAGAACTAAGTCTTATTGATAGGGTCTAATAGAAAGTTTATTTGTGAAGTGCTTTAAGACTTAGTTCACTGTTCCCAGTTTTGCTTTAAAATTTTTAGTACAGATAATTTGTGTTTCAGCACCTAGCTCCAATTTGGCTCATCCCTTGAATGTGTTCATGAAGTTTCCATTAAATTAGTTACCTTCTCTCTCAATAGATTATCATGTTTATATCTTTATGGAAAAAGTAAGGTTTTCATGAGTGACTACATGGAACCTCCTATTCACATCACACATACAAACTTAACTTTTATACTAATTCTTTCTTTCCTTCCTGTCCCAAAAGTGTTTGCCACATGCCAGACTAACTCGTAGATTTCATCCCTTCTGCCTCAATTTATTCTATTTATTTTATGTCTGCATGGAATCCTACCTCATATTTGGTAGACATTCTCTCTTGATCCTGTTTGCCCTTAATCATTGTTCCTTTGTGGTATGTATTTTTTCTTTTCCCATTCATTCCTTTGACTTTCCTTCTACCAACAGGTTCTAATGTCACCAATAATTCCTCATTGACAAAATATTCACATTTGTCTTTATCTTGCTTGAGTGCTCTTTGATATTTTCTTTTTTTTTTTTTTTGGAAATCTCTCCACCAAACCACCAGTGCTCATATACCCATTTACTTCCTTTCTCTACCTCCTCTACCATTTTCTCTATTCCCACTGGTAACCATTATCTTCTTTTTGCTGAGTTTAATTTTATTCCTTCTACTATCCTTGTATGATTGTTTTTTGGGGGTATCTGTATTCTGCTGATGAGTGAAACCATCTGAAATCTTTCCCTTTTTGACTGATTTCACTCAGCACAGCACAATCACCTTCAGCTCCATCCAGTTCTGTACCAAATGCCACCATTTCATTTTCACAGCTGTCTAATATTCCACTGAGTGTGTAATCCACACTTTCTCTATCCATTCACCTGTTGAAGGACACTTTGGTTCTATAACTTGGCACTTGTGAACAGTGTAATAGGTGTAGATTGATAAATTTTTATGTGTTAGTTTTCATGTTATTTGGATAAATTCCTAATAGAGGTTTTGCTGGGTCACAGAATTTCCATTTTTATTTTCTGGAGAAGTCTCCATACTGTTTTTTCTACAAGAAAAAGGATATATCAGATTGCATTCTACAAGGATATATCAGATTGCATTCCTACCTGTAGTGGATGAGCATTCCTTTTTCACTGTAACTCCCCAACACTTATTAATGCTTTTTGATATTTGACCAAGGACCATCCCTGGGTTCTCTATACTCACTTCTTCTTTAACTTAAAACAGTCTGCTTTCTCTTAGTTGTATGTCTGGTGCCTTTCTCTGTTGTATTTTTGGCTTTTCTTTACTTGTCCACGTATTATGTGATGGTTTTCCCAGCGTTCTGGCTTTTGTCTTCTCACTTTGTCTTTCTGGATATCATGTAAGCCCACTGCTTCATCTTTCACCTTAAATCATCTTCTACTATCCCACCCTCAATTGTGTCTCATAAGGGAGCAATAACTATTTAACCTCAGGCGAGAAAGTCTGTTTAGATTCTTTTGTCACTTTTATTCACTTCATTAAGTAAATTAATCAGATTCTTTTAATTTTGTTTGGATAGCTCCTACTTTAGTTCAAGCTCTCATTCTTCTCCTCCTATAATGCTATTTCCAAAATATGCTGGTATGTGGTAATATTCAATCATAAAAATTTTCCAGACTTAGCCTGTTGCCTGTAGGATAGTGTATCTTAAACTTTTTCTAATAAAGCATAGATCCTCTTCTCTTTGCTCTTTAGCCTCTCCCTGAGTGAACTCATCAACTCCTGTGGCTTTAAATATCATCTAGATGCTAATGAATGCCAGATTTGTATCTTTAGCCCAGCTTGATCCTCTGAGCTCCAGGCCTCTGGCCAACTTGACTATTCTACTTGGATGTGACATAGTTCTCTCAGACTTAACTTGTGTCTTCTGCAAAACTCTTAATTTTTTCCTGCAACATTTTTTTCTTCCTTTAGTCTCTTCTTTTTCAGTGAAAGTTACTATCACTTAGGCAGTTGATCAAATAGAAATTTAAGGCATCATTCTTTCCTCTTCCTTTCATTCCCATGTCCAGTAAGCCTCTTTAATTCCACTTAAAACAGTATCTCATCTGTTCACTTCTTTCCATGTCTGTGTCACTACCTTAACTCAGTGTGAGGCTTCTAAGTAGTTTCCCTGCTTCATTTTCCCCATTTCCTTACAGTTTTCCTCATGTAGCTGCCTAGTATTTAAGAAGCAAAAAAGTGCTATCACTCCTTTTTATAATTCTCCAGTGGCTTCCTTCTCTTTGCCCTGTTACTAAAGTCCAAGTTCTTTCCCTGTGAGGCCTTTTGTGATGTGCTTCCATCTCTCTTTCCAATCTCCTTCATTCTTTTCACCATGCTCTGGCTGTTGGATGAGTGGGAAACCACCTGAGTGTGTCATTTTCTTTGCTTAGAATACTCTTCATGGGATTGATTTCTTCTCAGGCCTTGGGACTGAGCTTACGACAACTTGCTGTCTTCCCAACTGTGAACCTATGAAAATTGGTATCCCGTATTATTCTGTATCTCAGGATCCTATTTATTTTCTTTACAGTCATCATAATTGGTGGTTCTAAACTTGTGTATTATCAATATCCCTGTAGATTGTAAAACTAGAGAAGGGCAAAACCTGTGTTTCATACCAGCACACTGTCCTAGCACACAGTCACAATCAGTGTTGCTAATGACGGGCCTTGTTCATCTGTCAGACACCCTTGTCATAATTCTTTGACCCCTTCCCAGTACCATTATTCCTGGAGTATTTAGGTCATTCTCTCTTATCCACCAATTCATACATAGCACCAGTTAGAGAATTTATTATTGCAGCCATCACATTATAACTATTAACTTACCTTCGCCCCCCCCCCCGAGACTGAACTTGAGAAGACCTTGTTTTTCAAGACATTCCATTTCCATAGCCATAGTTGGTAGACCTTCTCACAATACTAAGAACCCAGTTAATGCTGTATTGATGGGAAGGTGGCTGATCATTGTATGAAGAATAAACATTCCCATCTCACCAGCTCATGGAGGGAATTTGAAACTGTGAGGTTTCTACTGTTTGGTGTTTGACAAAGACTGCAACCCAATCTGTTTTATGTTATAACCAGCATGAGCCAAAGGGAATGGACTCTGTAAGAAGCAGAACTAGGGAGACTCTAAATTAGGTTTGGGGCACTTTCAAAGGGTTCTTTGGTTTGGAAGAGGAAGAATTCATGAGATTTCCCTCTGGCATGTCCATTCTGACTATCCAACTCAATTTGTGTGACTTCATGCTCCCCGAGTGACTTTTTACTGATTTCAGTTCCAGTCTGGAAGGATTTCATGAGTGACCAAATTGATATAATCATTACAATAGTGTATATATCCTACTGCAGATTTATAAGTTAGCAATCTGTCATATGCCCTATTCTAAATTCATTTAGCATGACTTTGTTTTGATCAGGCATGGTAAAAAAATTTATCTTGAAAGGTGAAGGCCAGTCTTTAGACCTTCTACCCTCATGCCCCCAGCTGTGTCCCCTGTGAGCCCTGGAGGGCAGCTAGCCACCTGGCTCTCTTGCTGTCATCACTGACTCCTTTCAGCTCCCTTTGTGATCAGCTGTGGGCATGTTTTACACTCTCTGCTTTAGTATTTTCATGCTGTTTATTTCCTGACTTACATATTTTGTCCTAAAGAGAAAACTAAACCAATAAGCAAGCTTTACAAATGAGTCTCTTAATAGTCTGGCATACACATTAAAGCTATTTAACAAATCAACTAGTCTGTGGATCTATTGCTTTGAAGTTATTTATTTGAATATATATTAGTAGTTAATTAAAATATTTTTAAAAGGAAGTACAAGTACATTCATTCTTAGATGACTTGGGGAGGGTCAGTGACTGGGTGAATCTGTGTGGCATAGCATAGGTTTTTATAACACAGCAACCCTGTAGGCAGAGTTTGCAATATAGCCAGTAAGGAAACTGGCAGCCTGGGATTTAAAACCACAACTAAGCCTTAGTTTTCTTAACTGTAAGATGATGGTATTAATATAAACTTAATTAGATGGTTTTGGGGAAAAAAATCTAAAACAAAAAGTATAGATTATATATACGGTAGTTGGAATTAAAAAGGACAGTTGCATTTTTTTTTTTAAAGATTTATTTATTTATGCATATAAGAACTGGGGGTACAGATAGTTGGAGGAGGGTGAGAGGATTCACCAGAGATGGAGTGGGGAACAGAAACAGGCAGATTGACTGAAATACACTGCTGAGGGGAGCAGCGGGTGAGACAGGAGAGGTCTGCTGCGCCATAAGGGTAGCTCCTTGGCCAGGGATTGAACTCGTGCTGCAGTGGCTGTGGATAGCTTCATAGGTTGCATCCTAACCCGTTGTGCCACCAGGGAGGCCCCGACAGTTGCATTTTGAACATTAATATATAAATTTTCTTTTGTGTTAGCAAATGTTCAGCTAAGGCTTTCTATCAGGTATCTTTTAATTAACATGAAGAATAAACCAAGTGATCAACTGTTATTTGCAAGGAAATGAGCTGAAATTACATAAAATCATTGATTAATTGGAAATTTGTTCAAGACAATTCTTTATACTAATGTGGAAGCTTTAAAAAAGATCTGTACTAAGGCAGGTACTTGAGTTTTTTAAAAAAGCAAAATGATGCTAGAAAATAAAAGCCGTTAGTTGTTAGGCTTTTTGTTAGTGTTCTAATAATGACGCTAGGTTTTTGATTCTATTTTCTGACAGTGGTACAAAAAGAACTAAAATTTGACTTTAATTTTGTACTGCTGTTTTGATAATGTGTTTTATGAACATTACAGGTATCACAATTTTCTGCAGTTTCATATTGTGACATTTTTTGAGTTCATGTTTGTGCCCTGGTTTGAATAGGAAGGAAATATGCCTCTGGAAGATTTACTGGCATTCTATGGCTATGAAACTACAATTCCAGCGGTTGCAAATTCCAGTGCAAATAGCTCCCCAAGTGAACTTGCAGATGAACTACCAGATATGACACTAGACAAAGTAAGTACAAACATTAAAAGAAAAATTCCAGATCCATTACCATGACTGTTTTTATTCAAGTTTCCTTAATTTAAATTTAAAGCATTTCGTAATTCAGAAATGAGAACATCTTTACTGACCCATTGTACCTATAATTTTGGTGATTAATTTAAATATTGTCTGGCTTTGATCACACTACCTTAAAGTGAAAGTAGTTTAAATTACTTTACATGTTTATATTTCTCCCATAATTTAAAGTTTTCTATATAAGCATCATATCTAAACTTATATTTTGCCCTAATTTGTTTTGATCCTATGAACATGAATGCATGGATTGATGAAACTTTCAGATAGTCTGGCTTAGGTATGGCATGGTTGGAGAGATAGTTTTCTTAAGTTTTTGGAGTGAAAGAGACCACAGCAGCCAACATTTCCATGATATATATCTCAAACACAGGCCTAGTATCTGATGAGAAAATTCTCACAGACATGATATCTGCTAACAGATACCTGGAGCATTTTCCTTACCTTTCAGATCTCAAGCAGGGAGAGCAGTCCACATCTTGGAACCCTTTCCTATGAGTTGTTCCCACTGATTAGTCAGATGTGTTATTAATGTAGCACAATCCTTATTAACTATAGTCATTCAGCGAATATTGAGTGCCTAGCCTACTGTGTGCCAGGCACCAGGATGACTATATATTTCAAAATTAAGGTTGTTTCTTTTAATGTTTATTACTGTTCTGAGCTATTCATTAACTGGACTGTAAATGATTGGAAAAGGGGTATTTTTCTTGTTTTATTCATGTTGGCAGAAAGTGAATTTAATTGTTGACCATTTAGAAGTAAGATTATTTTTGTTGTAAATTCACTAAAAGTTAACCTGCAGCTTCATTTCTGCATACCCACAAATAGGCAAATTGTTTATTAAATTATGGGTGTAAAATAACATTATTATTAAATATTATATTGTTATTAAATGTTATTAAATATGTACATGAAATACGTTATAAAATTTCTCAAAACTAAGGTGATTTCAACCAGTTTTTAATTACATCCTCATATAATATGTTTATAAAGAATGTTACAACTTTTTTAAATGGGTGAGAGGTAACCATTTCTAAACTCCCACACTATACTCCGATTCTTACAGGAAGAAATAGCAAAAGATCTATTATCTGGTGATGATGAAGAAACTCAGTCTTCTGCAGATGATCTGACACCATCTGTGACTTCCCATGAAACTTCTGATTTCTTCCCTAGGCCTTTACGATGTAAGAAACCTAATCAATGATGGATTGATAGCAGCTTTGATACTCTAACTTTGTATACATTTTATCTTAGTAGTTTATGTCAGAATATTCTGTCTTAACTGAAATAAAGTGCTAAACTGAATAAAATTATAACTTTTTTGGGATTAGAGGTAAACTGATAATGCTGTCTTAAAAGTAAACCAGTTGTTCCATTTTGGTTTTGTTTTCTTTCCCAAGATTCATCTGCTACTATGGTAACCAGTCTTAGTTCATCCATGAAATTCTATAGGCATTTTTTAGATGTCTGTTAGCTAGCCCTTGTTGTTCTTGTTTTGAAAACTATCAGTTACTCAAAAAGTATTTTTTTAATTTTAGTGATATACGGAATAATCCTTTCCTTTTAGTTCTTGGTATATCCCTTAATGTATATCAGTAATATTTAAAAAGTACTTGAAGTACTTTCTTATGTGCAATCTTGTTTATTTCTTAGATATTTTTATTGTAGAACAGTTTAGTTAGCAAGTTCAAATAAACAAAATGTGTGTTCAAAAACATCATTTTGATGGACCCAATGTCCAGGTTTTTGTGTATCTCATTCTGGATTAGTGTAATCAGAACTCCAGTGTTTTGCATTCTTTTTAAGGTGACTCTATTGGTTTTCTTTTTGTCTCCCCAAATTTTGACTATATACCAAGTAATTATAATACTATATACTTGTTTAGTGTTTTTAATGTCTTGTTATGACTAATGTTAAAATGTGGTAGTTGTATAAGAGGTTTCATATATTTGTGCTGATCTCATTTATTCAATACTTTTTTATAAACTATCATGTGCCAACCACTGTTCTAAATACTGCAAAAAAGTAGGCAGTATTTCAACCTTTTGTTGATTTTCCTCTTTTAAGCAAATACTACATGTGATGGGGATAAGGAATCAGAAGTTGAAGATGTTGAAACAGACAGTGGTAACTCACCTGAAGATTTAAGGAAGGTAAGTTGATTTACCATCATCACTTGGTAGACTATGTGGACTGAAGTAGCTTTTAAAGGCATCTCTGAATTAATTTAGGATAATTTTGTTGTTGCAAGATGAATTTCTTTTGACTTGAACCTGATTAATGAGTTTTGGAACTCTTCTTATATTAATTTTTGTACTAATTTGTTTTAACTTCTAAATTTTCCTGTAGGAAATAATGATTGGTTTGCAGTATCAGGCAGAGATTCCCCCTTATCTTGGAGAATACGATGGTAATGAGAAAGGTATGGAGGGGTTTTGATTTTGATAATATTTTGATAATATTTGATAATACCCAAATATCCCTTAATATATATGTTTAAATATCTGATTATTTACCAACCTTGGTAGTGTAAAGATAGTTTTGGAGTCAGGGAAGATTCCAGATTCAAAACATTTAGGCATGACTTAGGAAAATTGTCCCATACATGTTTCTTAGGTAGTATGCTAGGTGTTTATCTGTTGAAGTAGTGGAGAGCCTCTTCAGGTGCAGCTGTTTGGACAACATCCTGCTCTAGTAGAAGTGGGTAGAATTCTATCACTTTAAATAATGAGAATGTTAGGAATATAGTTCTCTTGGAAAGAAAACTTTTGAGGAGAAAGAAGTTCTTCTGCCCTAACCCTGAAAGAGTAGGTGGTAGAATATATGACATCTGCTTTTTTTATGCTATAGTAAATCAGTTTTCAATCACATTTTTGGTAGATTCCAGCTATGATTGGTTCTGAAAATATGGAGGGGGTAAAGTGGTGGGAAATTAAAATGCAGTTTTACCTTCCTAGCTGAATTTGGGAACCAAGTAGGTTTGACACATCGATATTTAACCTTTCACTGAAGAGTTGATTCATCCCTGTGAAGTCATTAGGGCGAAAGCAGCGCAGTGACCCAACACTTATCAGGTTATCCCTCATTTAAAGGATGTGAAAATTGGCTGCCTTGGGTTCATTAGCTTTGCCAGCCCCTATCAACACAGTTTTCCTAAACAGCTTTCAAAGCAATGTGAGACAGTTTTCCCAGGGAAGCAAATGGTAGTTGATCACCCTCTGATGTCCTAGCCTCTCTTCCTTCACATGCAGATGTCATACATACTTTTGTAGCCAAACATAACATAGGTAATGTTCTCTCTGTTTTATACATTCAGGAGGAATATTTTATCTTCTCTATCTTTTGAAGGGTAAAGCCAGACTTTTTTTAAATCTATTTCAGTTTTGACCAAAGAGTAAAGTAACTGGTTTTAGAAACTTACTCAGAATTGACTCTGACTGCTTCACAGGCATACCTTTCCTGATCCCTCCCTGGGAATGATAATTCCGGCCTTAATTCAGTTGTGAAAATAAAGCACCATAGTCTCTGGTGCCTAGCGAGCTTTCAATTAATTTTTATTACCTATATTTATTATGTACTTGCAATAGATTCCATTTGAAGCAGTAAGATATATACTTGGACAATATATATTATTTTATTGTATAGTAGAATCTTTGTGCACAGCAACAGCATGTGTGTTAATGTATGCCCCTTGTTTTAGTGACATTTTGCTTATCAATTTATTAGTCTTTTTAAGCAATAATGGAAAATTTATTTATGTTTCTCATTTCCAGTTTTGATTATCTTGCTTCCTGTTTTAAATAAAAAATAACCTTTGGGGGTATCGATAAAAAAAATGCCTTAGCTTTTTCACTATTCTATTTTTATTTTTGTTGACAGTTTTTATCCTCTAGACATTCCATGGTACCATTTAGGGAGTTCAAGAGAAAACTCCAATGAGGTTATTAAAGATTTTACACAGGTTATTTTTACCCCCTCATTAGAAGATCGTAAGATGCCATTCTGACTTTTTACAGTAGATTTTACTGCAATACTACCAATAAAGTTACCTGCTCTAGACTGGGGCATTTGGCCCTTAATAAAGTTAAAAAATTTTTTTAAACTTCTAATGAAAGGCTCAATTTTCCAGGCAATTAAATTTTTGATATCCTCAAAGTAAGTTACTTGTTCCAGTTGTGTGTACCTATCAAGGAAGAAGAACAGTTTATATACATCTTTGAGTGTGCATATTATTTTTAATGTGCTAATGGGATTTTCTTTATCAGTGTATGAAAATGAAGACCAATTACTCTGGCGTCCTGGTGTGGTTTTAGAAAGCAAAGTTAAGGAGTACCTTGTTGAGACCTCATTAAGAACTGGAAATGCAAAAATAATGGATAGGATTTCTGCAGGAACTCACACAAGGGACAATGAACAGGTACATTTAAACTTAAGTTGAAACAGCAGCTAACTACTAGTATCTTCTTATATTCAAGTATTTTTTGGATGTCTCTTTTTCTGATAGATTTTCAAACCTTGGGAAATACTAAAATAATTCCTAAGATTTAACAGTGACCACTTTATGTTTTTTCATATATTTTCTTCTGATCTTTTTTCTATACATATTTTACTTTAGATTCCACTTTATATCATTTTAATCATTTAGTCTTATTTTTCTTTGCCATTAGATTTTTTTAATACCTCATTCTTACTGACTATATTCCATCCTGTAGTTGTAATATCACTTAAACATTCTGTGTGGTTGAATTTTTAGATTTTACAATAGAAGTATCTTTTTTAATAATTCCTGAGCTTCGTTTAGGAAGTGGTTAAAAGGTGTAATGTCTATTAAAGTTGTATAAATTATTTTATGAGAATTTGTTAAGCCCTCCATTCCTGTAATGCAGAACACTCTCCTGATTGTGTGTGGGATGGGACTGGAAATAATAACTGTGAAGAGTGTTTTGAATATCCCTAGTTTTGCCCCCTGACGTCATTTTGCCCCCTTGTATCTTTTCACTATGTATCGTTAGCCTAGGTGATCCTGACTACTGAGTACTGAGAGATAGGTGGACTCAAACTTGAGTTCCCTAGTGACATAGAGAAGTCATACTGAACTTCAAAATAACTTTGTTAGCTGCCAGAAAGAAATTCTGTCTAGTTTTTCTATGGATATTCCTGTTAAAAATTATAAGTTAATTTTGGAAGAAATAATACCTTTAAACATTAAATCTCCCACTCCTAGAATATGATGTGAGCATCCACTTTTTTTTACTTTTGTAAAAATTATTGAAAATTTTTTAACAGCATATGCACCTAACAAATTTTACTTCTTTTTTTCTTTTTTAAAGATTTATTTTATGCATACAAAAACTGGGATACAGGCCAGAGGTGTGGGGGGGTGAGAGGATTCATCAGAGACAGAGTGGGGAACAGAACAGGCAGATCGACTGAAATAATACACTGCTGAGAGGGGCAGCGGGCGAGTCAGGAGAGGTCTGCTGCGCCATGTGGTGGCTCCCTGGGCAGGGATCGAGCTCATGCTGCATAGCTGCAGATAGCTTCATAGGTTGCATCTTTTTTTTTTTTTTTAAAAAAGATGTATTTATTTATACAAGCATTGGGTACAGTCAGAAGTGCGGGAGGGTGAGCCAGAGTGGGGAACAGAGCAGGCAGACTGATGAAATACACTGCTGAGGGGAGCAGTGGGCACTGCAGGAGAGGTCTGTGCGCCATGTGGGACCCTCGCCAGGGGCCGGGGATCGAACCGGCGCTGCAGAGGCTGCAGGCGGCTTCACAGCCCAGTGCTCAGCCGCTGCACCATGAGGGGAGGCCCCATAGGTTGCGTCTTAATGCCTTGAGCCACCAGGGAGGCCCACAAATTTTATTTCTTGTTATCTTTTATATGTGTATATGTACTAATGCTATTGTAAATAGGATCTCTGTTATTCAACATGTTGATTTAGAGAAATGTCAATTTTTTTTTAAGTTATTGAAACTTTAATGATTTTTTTAGTTATTTCTCTTAGGTTTTCTAATCATGAAGTTAATAATTATACCTTTTCCCTTTCCTTACCATTACTGTATCTCTTATTCCTGCTATATGTCTTACTGTGTTAGCCATAACTCTCAAGAGACATTTGATACTAATAAGTGCTTTTAGGCTTCACTTGCTTGAAGGTAAAACATCTCTAAGGTTTTTACATTAAGAATAATTACAGGGTTGGGCCTCCCCGGTGGCGCAGCCATTGAGCGCTGGGTTGCGAAGCTGCCCGAAGCCTCTACAGCGCCGGTTTGATACCCTGCCGCCGGGCGAGGGTCCCACGTGGCGTGCAGACCTCTCCTGCCACCCGCTGCTCCCCTCAGCAGTGTACTTAATCACCCTGCCTGTTCTGCTCTCCGCTCTGGCTTTGGTGAATTTTTTCACCCTCCCTTGCCTCTGACTGTACCCAGTGCTTGTATAAATAAATAAATCTTTAAAAAAAAAAAAAAAGAATAATTACAGGGTCTACCTGGTGACGCAAGGGGTTAAGACATTATGAAGCTGTCCACAGCCACTGCAGCACGAGTTTGATACCCAGCCAGGGAGCTGCCCACATGACGCAGCAGAACTCTCCTGACTCGCCCGCTGTTCCCCTCAGCAGTGTATTTCAGTCGATCTGCCTCTTCTGTTCCCCACTCTGTCTCTGATGAATCCTCTCACCACCCACACCTCTGGCCTGTACCCCAGTTCTTGTATGCATAAATAAATAAATCTTAAAAAAAAAAAAGAATTCCAGCCCTTGGTTAGATATAGGCTATCTTTATTATAATAAAGCAATATCTAGTATAACTATTGTAGTTTTTGTCTTTTTAGGGTTAGAAATGGATACTGATTATCAGATTTTTTTAAACAACTGTTGAGATTATTATTATTTTTTTAAAGAGTTATTTATTTATGCATACAAGAGCTGGGGTATGGGCCAGAGATGTGGTGGGTGACAGGATTCACCAGAGACAGAGTGGGGAACAGAACAGGCAGACTGACTGAAATACACTGCTGAGGGGAGTAGTGGGTGAGACAGGAAAGGTCTGCTGCGCCATGTGGGATGCTCCCTGGCTGGCCAGGGATTGAAATCGTGCTGCAGAAGCTGTGGATTGCTTCATAGTACGGTGCTTAACCCCTTGTGCCACCAGGGAGGCCCCCTGTTGAGATTACTTTTAATGTGTTGATTATTAACCCCTTGATGTATTAATAGGTTTACTGATACTGATAGTCCTTGCCTTTTTTGAAACTTATTTGGGAAGGTAGATTATTATTTATGAACTCAAAGCTCTGTTTGCTATTTAGTATATTCATAATCCCAAACAGATTTAGTTGGGATAAATTCTAATTAAAAGAAAAAGACATCTTTCATAGTAGATGGAGTTAACTGAGAACATAACTGAGACCATTATAAACCCCAGTCATTAAAGAACCTGTTCTATCCTAAGTCTGTTACTATATCCCTTTCATTAAAACTCTGAAAGGCAAGGAGTATATGTTAACAAAATATTGCAATAATATTTCCCAGCTAGAAAAAGAATCCTTTAAAATAAGAGTATTCCCCAACTCAGAAGGCCTGGCAGTAAATAAATAGTCAAGAAAAATCCTGGTAGACGTCTTTTGAGAGGTAGAGTGAAAATGAATGAACTCATAGGATACGTTCCAGACTGAATTTCTGGGCAAACATACCGTCAACTTTCCTGAAATTAGAGAGCATTTCAACTGTTTGTCAGAACTCTTAGAGTAGCATATTTCTTTGTTAAAATGCTGTTACTAAGCATGAAATATCAGTGATTTTTTTGAAATAGATTTTTCCCTCTCTTTTAGGCATTATATGAACTTCTGAAGTGTAACCACAATATAAAGGAAGCAATTGAAAGGTATTGCTGCAATGGAAAGGCATCTCAAGGTAAGAAACACTTAGGGTCAAGAGAGGGAAGTGATAGGGGATGGTCATTTGGGGATTGGAATAAGCAAAGTATCATAAAGGACAAAGTAATCCTATAGCATTTTTGTAAGATGTGTATTCATAGCAAATAATTTTTTCCTTTTCTTGCCCTCTATTTTTAGACGTACCAGAGATTGTTCAAATACAAATTAGTTACCCCCCTGTCACCTCCACTTTCTTGAAGAAATAGTTACAGAACAAAGCAGACCCCAGAGATGACAATATATCCAAAGTAATTAACAAGAATGATTTTATGATTTCATTGGAAAAAAAAGTTGTTTTTTTCTTTTTTTTTAAAAATCAGACAGGAAATAAAAAGGATATTAAAGATTAAAAAAAAGAAATGTATAATCCATTGCATTTATTGCAAGAAGTATATTTTTAGTAATCATGTGATAATATTTTTGCAATGCTTAGGTTTTGTATGTGTCAAGAAAAATAATCATTTCATTTTTTAAAATCATACAAATGTATTGCATGCACTGTTGGCTTTCATTAAGTATATGTACAGTAAAATAGTTGTTAGTCATATTACATAAATGCCCGGGGCTTATAGATTGAAGTAGGCTGTTGAAATGTTTTCTTGTAAAAGCTGCTTTGAAAAATTATTTTAAACTTGCAAAACTATAAAAAATTAAGTGCTGGTTTCTTCTTTAGTTAGGATTACTTTTCACCTTTATGGTGAACTGTGAAATGGCTTTGGGGATCTGACCCTCAGTGTCAAATGGATTGAGGTACTTCAGGTGTCCTCTGCCCCAAGCAAATTTGAATGTTAACATCTTCCAGGAAGTTTTGTTAGTTCCTAACGAAGGAACTTAGGTTTTATTGTAAGACCAAAATCAAGTATTTTCTCCCATAAAGAAATAACCTTATTTCTCTAATTAAAAAACGTGGTCATTGTTTTATTTAAAAAAAAAAATCAGAAAAACATTGAACATAAATTATAAAATAAAAACATTAAATTTATATTAACCCCCCCACCCCCATTCGGAGAAAAGAAAACTAGTGTCTATATTTTGGTATTCTAGATTTTTCAGTAAGATTTAGGATATGCATATTTTTGATAATTCTTACTGAAATTTCCTACATACAGAATTCTTTTGTGTGTATGTATGTTTATGATGACCTTTTATAGGGAAAACAAACAAAATAAATCAGTAATTCATATAAACGTTTTGAGGCCACTGAATTTTTTTTTTTTAATTTCTTTAGAAGGAATGACTGCGTGGACAGAAGAAGAATGCCGGAGCTTTGAACATGCACTTATGCTTTTTGGAAAGGATTTTCATCTCATACAGAAGAATAAGGTAAGCTAGGCAACATAGTTTGGACAAATTGATTAGTAGTTACAATGAATATAAGCCACTAATTTATAAGTTAATTGGGTAAAAAAGAAAGTAACAACTTGCCCTGCTTCTAGCATTTCTAGTATTGCTCTAAACATGATTGGGACTTGCTCCCTATGCCAGCCTGCTGATGGGATAACTCATGATATAGTCATATATCGTTTGACATATGCAGATATCATACTTACAGGAAGTAAGTATGAAGAGTAAGGATTCACTATATTTCAGGAAATCTTGCTCATATCTTTCCTTGCCTTTCATTTCTTTCTAAGCTGTTCAGAGATTTGTGGCCTTAAAATGTTTCTTTTCAGCAGTGAGAACTGCATTTGGCAAAAGAAGAAACATCAATTACTAAAAAAACAGCTAAAAATATTCTAACATCCAGTCCTTAGGAGGATATGGAGCAACAGGAACTCTCATTCATTGCTGCTGGGAATGCAAAATGGTATAGCCATTGTGGAAGCATATTTGGTGTTTTCCTAGAAAATCAAGCATACTTTTACTGTATTAGCCAATAGTCAACACTCATTGGTATTTACCCAAAGGAGTTGTCCATGGAGAAACTGGCACATGGATGTTTATAGCAGTTTTTGTTAGAACTTGGAAGCAGTTGAGATTTTTTTTTGATAGAAATAAATAAAATAACTGGCACATCCATACAATGGATTATTATTTGGTGATTTAAAGGAAAAAGCAAGCTATTAAGTCACAGAAAGACACGGAGAAACTTTAAGTGCATATTACTGTATCAAGCCACTCTGAAAAGGTTACATACTGTGTGATTCTCACTATATGACATTCCAGAAAAGGAAAAACTGTGGAGACAGTAAAAAGACTAGTGGCTCCAGGGATTAGCTGGGAGAAAGGGATGAAGAGGTAGAGCACAGAGGATTTTTAGAGCAGTGAAACTGTTTTGTATGATACTATAATGGTGGGTGTATGTCATTATACATTTGTCAAAACCCATAGAATGTACAATGCTGAGAGTGAATTCTAATGGAAATGATGGACTTTGAGTGACAAGGTGTGTCAGTTAGATTCATCAGTTGTAACAAGTACATCAATCTGGTGGAGGGCATTGATAGTGCGGAAAACTATGCCTGAATAGGAGATAAATGGAGACCATACTTCCTGGAAATACGTCAGAAAGAAAAAGAAAAATGTCAGATGGTTTCACGTATAGGAGGAACATAGGAAAACTATACAAGAGATCGAAAGAAAAAAAAAACAGACAAAACTAGCAGTCAAATTATAAATTGGAGACATTCAGCAGAGGAGGGGAAGAGAGAGGAAAGAGCAAAAGAGTCTATGGTAACAGTTTATGGGTGCCTTGGTGGTGTTAATTTTATGGGGACTGTGCCTGAGAGTAGAAATCAAACATTGTGCAAAAAAAGAGCAATGATACAAAAAATATGTAAATAAAAATATAAAAAAATGAAAAGGAAAAGCTGCTCTGAATAGTCACGTGCATATTTTTTAATGGACAAGTTTTCAATTCCTTTGGCTAAATACCAGTGAGTGATTTCTGGGTGATATGTAAGAGTATGTTTCATTTTTTTCGAAAATGCTAAACTGTCTTCTAGCATGGCTTGTACCATTTTGCATACCTGCCAGCAGTGAATGAGAGTTCCTGTTACTCCATATCCTTGCCAGCATTTGGTGTCAGTGTTTTGGATTTTGGCTACTCTATTAGGTGTATAATGGTATCTCATCATTTAAATTTGTATTTCCCTGATGACATAAGATGTAGAACATAAGATGTACAACGTTTGTCATCTATAAATCTTTGGTGAAGTGTCTTATTAAGGTCTTTAGCCCATTGTTTGAGTGGTTTTCAAGTTTTTTATATATTTTGGATAGCAGTCCTTTATCAAGTATGTGTTTTGTAAATATTTTCTTCCACTGTGTGGTTTGTCTTGTAAAAGTATCTTTTACAGAATAAAAGGTTTTAATTTTAATGAAGTCTTACATACCAGTTTTTCTGTCACAGATTAATTATGTTTTAGTGTTTATCTAAAAAGGTGTTACCATCTGCAAGGTCATCTAGGATTTACTCACATGTTATTTTCAAGGAACTTTTTGATTTGCTTTTTACTTTTAAGTCTGTAATTCATTTTGAGTTTTTGTGAAGCATAAAATCTGTGTCCAGAATCTTTTTTTACATGTTGGTGTCTAGTTTCCAGATTATTTGTTGAAAAAACTATTCTTCCTTCATTGAATTGCCTTTGCTCCCTTGTCAAGGATTAGTTGTCTGTATTTATGTGGGTCTGTTCTAAGCTTTCTATTCTGTTCATTTTATCTGTTTTTTTCCCTCCAGTACCACAGTCTCCTGGTTACTGTAGTTTGTACTATGTCTTGAAATTGGATCATGTCAATCCTCTAACTCTGTTCCTCTGCCTCAATATTGTATTGGCTATCTTGGATCTTTTTGCCTTTCCAGATAAACTTTATAATTAGTTCGTTAATATTTATGATTCTTGCTGGGATTTTGATTGCTTGGGATTGCACTGAATCTATAGATCAAGTTGGAAAGAACTGACATCTTTTTTGTTTAATAGGTTTTAATGGGCATATGATACCTACTTACAAAATTTGCATAACTTAACGGCATATTGTAGTAAAGTCCTACATCTTACACACATGGAACAGCTTAGCAGTCTTCTCAAAATGTTTTTCTTTCAAAAATTCCTTATGAAAGGAAAAGGTTCTGTTTTACATGGTCTGTGCTGAAGTTATAAGTATCATTTTCCTCTTCCGTCATTTTATCCTAGACAGAATATTGCAGACTGCTCATCTGCTTGAGATTCTTTAGGTTAAACTAGTCCTTTTCTGCAGGGGACATGTCTGTGCTCTTTTCATCAGCTTCTTCAACATTTTCCTGGTTATTGTCAATGTATTCGTACTTCTACTCCCTCCTCTCTTTCTGTGTTGGCAATTCTTCAGGTATGTACTTTCCATCTGTTTTTCCATTTGTCAGATCCAAAGACTAGAAAAGGATGCTGTTGGCTAACCGAGGGCCCCTAATGTATGTTGTGTGCATTATTTTTTCCCACTTATTCCAAATCAAAGCCCCATGTCTTTTTTTGTTTTATTTCATTTTTGTTAGTATTAAACCCCTGTGTCTTTTATACAATGCTCTCACTGAAGTGAGGAGGAGTCCAGGAATGTAGGGGGATGGCAACAGTCACTAAGGAGGCACCTATCAACTCTGACCCACAGCAGTTAGGTGTCACCTTCTACATTTGGTCTTCCACCTTTGTGATGAAGTTCATTTCTTGAGCAAGCAAAGTAAAATATTCTGGAGATTTCTTAAAGTCCAGAGCAGTAAATTTCAATACCTTATGTTGAGCATCAGCCTGGAACAGGGTTGCACTGGCAGTCTGTACTGGTTTTACTACTTCAGTTCTTGCTGGACTTCCTCAGAGCAAGTTAAGTGGAGACATATTGGGCTGTGTATGATTGTAATTTGTAAACCCTGTGGATGCACAGACAGTAAGTATCTGTTCTATTTTAAGCAATGTCAATAGGTTATGCTGTTTTCCACGTTTGGGAAACCAGTTACTCCAACCCAAATGACTTTGCCATTTCCATGCAACTTCTAAGAAGCTTCCAAAGGCATTCTTTTCCAATACAGACGTCACTTGGGAATGAGGCTGTTTTCTTTCTTTCCTTAATTTTCTTCCCTCTTGTCCTTCAGATTTGTTGAGGCTCTGAACATCACTGTTGGAAATTCCTTCTTTTTGGTGGGACCCTCGCCGGCGACCGGGGAACAAACCGGCGCTGCAGAGGCTGTGGGCAGCCTCGCAGCCCAGCGCTCAAGCGCTGCGCCACCAGGGGGGGCCCTCCTTCTTTAAAATATTAGCCAGTTCTCCAGATCCTCCTTTGGTACCAAATCTGATTTATTTAATACAGGTACCAGCTTTTTCTGTCCGTCCTGAACAGTGGCTTCTTCTCTTGGGGACATCCATCACCAAAAGGACCTCTGGCATCCAGCATCTCTCTAGCACATCAGAGGCTTCAGTCACCTTTAAATTCCTGACAGTACAACTTTGGATTCTGTTTGCCTGACTTGACTTTGTTCTTATCTTCTTACCTTTGCATTGCCAAAATTCCTCCTTCACAAGTTCCATATTGGACCATTCAATTCCAGAGTCAGTTTCAGGTTTTCTTTTTCGGTTCCTTCTGCCTGTCAAGTTCCTGCTGCTGTTTAGTTATCTCGGCCTCTTTGCTCTTCCTCTTCTACTCCCTGAAGAAAAGACTTAAAGGGAGGGCCTCCCCGGTGGTGCAGCGGTTGAGCGCTGGGTTGCGAAGCTGCCCACAGCCTCTGCAGCACTGGTTCGATCCCCGGCTCCTCCCCGGCTACCAGAGGAGGGTCCCACACGGCGTGCAGACCTCTCCTGCTGCCCTCTGCTCCCTGCTCTGGTGAATTCTCTCACTCTCCCGTGCTTCTGACTGTACCCAGTGCTTGTATAAATAAATAAAAATAAATCTTAAAAAAAAAAAGACTTAAAGGGAGCATTGTGTGGAACACCTGGGTATTTCCTAGGTTTCTCAAAATCCCATGGTTGAGCCTCCTTTCTCAATTTTCTGGGCACTCTCAAAACTTTTTTTTTTTATTTTCATTTTTTAATTTTATACTGCGTATGGCAAGTAATGTGTTTACTTGCTTTCTTTAACTTTAGCTACTTCATACTGGAGTTGGGAATATCAGAGAAGGTGTTGACAGTAGCTACAATGTCAGAACTGACATCTTGACAATGAGTCTTCCTATCCACGAATGTGGAATATCTTTGATTTCTTTAATCAGGGTTTTGTAGTTTTCCTCATATAGAAGTTGCATCTATTTTGTTAGATTTATAAGTATTTCATTATTTTGTGATGCTTATGTAAATAGAATTTTTATTTATTTTTTTAAAGAACTCGTGCTGCAGTGGCTGCGGACTGCCTCATAGGTTGTGTCTCAACCCCTTGCGCCATCAGGGAGGCCCTGTATATAGAATTTTTAATTTCAAATATCAGTTGATTATTGGTATATAGGAAAGCAGTTGACTTTTGCATATTAATCTTCTATCCTGCAACTTTACTGTAATTTATTAGTTCCAGGAGTGCTTTTGGTGATTCTTTGGAATTTTTTATATGTACACAATCATGTTATCTTTGAAGAGACACCATTTTCTTTCTTTCTTCTCAGGCTATATTTTTTAAATTTCTTTTTCTTACTGCATTAGCTGGACCTTCCAGTATAATGTTAAATATTTTCATGCTTGTTTGGATGTATGAAAATCCACTGTTTTTCAAAGATGAGATGAAGTGTTTAATTTAGTGAATAGATAAAGCATTTTTAAGAAGTTGCTCTTTTATATCTAAATAACATACAAGTTTTGCAGTGAATTACGAAACTTATCCATTCCTTCCATAAATAAGTCCTGTCGCTTACTGGAAATTATATTAAGCACCAGAAATAGTGAGTTAGACAAGAAGAGCAAATCTTGGACTTATGAAATTATCCTCATTATTAGTGCGAAGACATTTCACTAATGTTCAGAGCTTCACAATTGGGAGGATAGAAAATAAGACCCATGGATTGAAGTTACTGAGTTGTGTGTTAAAAAAAAAAAAAAATTAATAAAAATGGGTTGAGTTTGTTGATCTGTTTTTTAAAATACAACTTTTTTGTTAGGTGAGAACTAGAACAGTTGCTGAATGTGTAGCATTCTACTACATGTGGAAGAAATCTGAACGTTATGATTACTTTGCTCAACAGACAAGATTTGGAAAGAAACGATATAACCATCATCCTGGAGTTACGTAAGTATTGTGGACTTGACTTCAGGGACTTTTGTTTTCAACTGAATTGCAGTCATAAACTAAATTGGGGTGTTTTTTTCAGGGACTATATGGATCGTTTAGTAGATGAAACAGAAGCTCTTGGTGGGACAGTAAATTCTTCAGCCTTAACTTCTAACAGACCTGAGCCTATTCCTGATCAACAGCTGAACATTCTCAACTCTTTCACTGCCAGTGACTTGACAGGTGAATTGAATATCTCTTTATGTCTTTCAGTTTAGCTTGGGGCAGATTGTGTCCTCTTTGCTTCACCTCACAGGATCTCTTATTTGAACCATTTTCTATTTCTTTTTTTTTAGCTTTGACCAACAGTGTAGCGACCGTCTGCAGTCCCACTGATGTGAATTGTTTGGATGATAGCTTTCCTCCACCGGGCAACACACCCCGTGGACAAGTAAATCATGTGCCTGTTGTAACGGAGGAGTTACTCACCCTGCCCAGCAATGGGGAAAGTGATTGTTTTAATTTATTTGAGACTGGATTTTATCACTCGGAACTAAATCCCATGAACATGTGCAGTGAAGAGTCAGAAAGACCAGCAAAGAGATTGAAAATGGGCATTGCTGTTCCTGAATCCTTTATGAATGAGGTCTCTGTAAATAATTTGGGTGTGGACTTTGAAAATCACACACATCACATCACCGGTGCCAAAATGGCCGTTTCTATGTCTGACTTTGGCAGTCTGTCTGCCAGCGAGACCAATGGTTTCATCAGTACACACGCTCTGCATCAGCATGCCACCCTTCACTCTGAGTGACATGAATGAGGGGCCCAGAAACAGTGGGTGTTGCAGTACCAGTAAACTTGAGGAAAGTATCAGGTTTGCTTAGTCTTTCACTGGAAGTTTGAACATTTTTCACTATGACATCAGTGATGTCAGTATGTATAGAACTATATCTTGATTTATCAAGAGTATTTTCATTTTTCAATCCATAAATGTGGAAATGAACTATGATCAGCAGAGTTGGGAACTAAGATTGAACTCTGTGGTGCAGCTTTAAGCTCTGCTTATCTCTTCCTCATCTCCCAATACCTCTTCCCCACTCCCTTTTTCTATTCTTTTCTGTTCCCTACTGCCCTTTCTCCCAATTTAAAAACCTGTAGACAGAGGCCACCAGCTCAAAACCAGCACAGATGTTCTGAACTGAATGGAGTGGCTTCTTTTCATGTAAATTCCTTTTGCCGTAATGGATGCAGTGGAATAACAATGTTTACAGGTACCGATCCAGATCCCTGCTCAATGTAGCATTTTTGGGTTTATTTTCTTAATTAAATAAAAGCAGGGGTAGGTTTCTTTAACTGCACAAACATGCAAGGATTTTTTTTAAATGGAAACTTCTCTCATGTTATTCAACTAGAGCACTTCAGTTTACAAAACACCAAGTCCATCTTGATGGAAGCCAGCACGAGGAACTGCGTGCAAATTATGAAGACGCTTGCTTGGATCCTGTTTCAAAATTTTAGACCAGGGCTACCTTACACAGAATTGGCCATTTTATTGTTGGAAGATTTCTGTGTAACTTCATTCATTGGCTAAAAATTTGGTGTTTGAAATGTGGTATTCAGATGGGGTTTTGTCCACCCTTGTCAAGACTCTTTAATTGTGAAAATAATACCGGTCATTGAAATTTAGTTTATCCAGAGGCAACTGATTTGCAAGGCACAGTCTACAAATCCTAGGATGTTGCCACTCAATGGTTTACATTTTGGGACACCTCTTTAAGTTGTTTGTAGCACTGCAGTTCAAAGTGTTAATATTTTAGGAGGGCCTTCTAGATTTTACACTTAATGCAGTAGAACCTTGAAGTATATTTAAGCATTTTTTGTTTAGCTTGAATAGTTGGCAAGCAAAATGTGAATTCCTATCTGAAACAGAATGGTACGTTACCACTTTTAAGTTTTTTAAAAAGTGATGGACGTTCAGCTGCATCTCAAATTCAGTTTTATTTTTATTCCAAACATTGTGACTGAGAAGCCATTGTCATAAACTTTGGCCAGTTTTGCTCTCCAGACATGCATCTTTAAGTTATAAGGTGAATTCAAACAATATGTAATACAGTGTTAGGATATAATAAGCTTTGCTTTTATAATTCAGTTAAAACACAAAATTTTACTTTTTTGCACTGTCTTAAAATTTTCAATTTCTACTAGTCTTGCTTTGCTAAAACCTTAAATGTTTGGCTGCATTGCTTATATTTGTAAGTATAAGTTGCTTCAAGGTTGTGCTGATGAGTAGATAGGATGTAGTGAGCTTAGTAGTGATGGAAAAGGGAGGGTATTTATTATACAAACTGTGAACTGCAATGACATCCTCGGTTTTGGATGATGTGTATTCATGTTTTTCTTTGCAGCATTTTAATGAAGATTGCTTTGAAGTGTTTACGCAATAGCACATTTACTATAAAATTTAGTTTAGTACAGTGGACAAAGGTAGTTAAATTAATAACTTAAAACCAGTTTCTAATTTATACATCTAAAGTCTAGCATTCCTGTATGCACACAGTAAATAATGGGTAGCCTGGGCTCTGTTTCTCTCAGATATTGTATCCAAGTTGTCAGTTTCTTATTGCTGTGGTGTTGTTCTAAACTAGGATTTCTTTTCTTTTGTTAAAATCAGTATACCTTCTATAATTTAGAAAGATACTGGCCATGATCTTCCATTTTTAGAACTTTAATTTTTGTTCTGGGTTTACAGTGGCTGGTCTGTATAAAATAATTTACAAAGAGGACTGAATGCGAATACCAGTTGCACTTAAATGAACATGCCCATTCTCAGTAGCTGATGCAGTAATATATTCAGTTTATCTATGCATTGCTGGGATCTTGATATAAGATGGAAACAGTGTTTCTTATCTAAACTTTTGATTATCAGCAAGTTGAATGGACACTTTAGTTATTTAAATAAAGATTTTTGACCAAAATCCAGAAAATGATATGAGAGAAAAATAAATTCCAGCTAGTTTAATAGATTTTTAAATGCCGATCTGGTTTTAGCCTCTTAGAGAGAGCTAACTAGCTGGTAACGTTTACTTTTAATTCCTTGTTAAAATGAGGCAATAATTTGCAAGATTTTTGTACATATGTGTAAATCTTCATATCTTTTTAGACTAATTCAATATTTTCTGACTGCTTCTGCCATGTATAATACCATTTTTGTGCATGCTTGATGTGACTTTCATAAATTGTACCACTAAGACTTTATCCATGTAAAATAGCTATTTATTGAATTTTCTTTTTAAGCTGGATTTACTGTTGTTTTTCCTCTCTGTTTAAGCATTTTAACAAAGAATTTGTTACTGTTTATTAGAAGAATTGCGTTTGAGAGCATGAAAATAACTGATTTGCAATCACACAAAGAAACAATGCCTTTATTATCAAGTGTTAAGCACAATTCTTATAACAAACTGTGATAAATTCTTTTTTTTTTCTTTTGCCACATTATTTTTGTATGAACAAACCAAAAATCCATGGTGAGCAGTTGCAGTGTTGGCTGATGTATCTTTTATGTACAGGGAATATGAAGAGGACAGCGGATTCATTTAGAAATGTAACTGGTGCTGTGATTATAGCAATACTTTACTTTTGTTAGTTGTATTTCATCTATTTCATGCTAGCTTTTTAAATGTTTAGTTTTCCTCTTGTCATGGTCAACTGCTGAATTTACTTGAAGGATGTAGAATACTGTTTAAACAATACTAAAGTGTGTACAATTAGGTCAAAGAATTGTGCATTTGTTTCCTTTTTAATTTTTTAAATTGAGGGTCATAAATATTTGAGAACGTCAAATCTAATAGCGCATAGTGATACTATTTAATTTAACCAAAGTATAGTGAATATTTCAACTTTGAATGTAAACTAATGAATGAACATGACCACCAAGGAGATTGTTTGCCCAGAGTTTCAAAGCACATTGTCTACAAAGGAAATTGAAATAATTTATAGAAATATTGACATTACTATGTTTTTTAAGAAGTTCTTAATTTTTTCACTAAAAGGAGGAAACTATTAGTTTTATTGTTAAATATGGTAAATATTAAAATTCCTCTTACATGACCAGTGATTCCAATTGTCCCAGTTTGAAATAAGTACCCTGTGAGTATGAGATTAATTAGTGACAATCAGAACAAGTTTTAGTACCAGATGTTCAAGAGGAAGTTGCTATTGTTGCATTGATTTTAATATTTGTACATAAACACTGATTTTTTTGTGCATTATTTTGTATTTGTTGTACTTTAATACCTGGTGTACAGTTCCAGAAATAAAAATCTGGAAATCTTTTTTTCTTGGTTCTTGTATCTGCCAAATAAATTTTTATTTAAGCTATAACAAATGGGTAGCTATTAAACACTGTTAAATTGGTTTTAGATGGAGTAAATTTGATAGGTAAGTAATAAAGATTGATAAAATAAGTTTTCTTTAAATCCCCTATATGAATTTCTATCAGTAACAAAATTCTAGTCATCCCAAAGTGGGGATTATACTTCGTTTAATTCAGGAAATATTTACTGAATGTCTGCTATGCTTCAAACACTGACCAAGGTAACTATCCTTTAGGAAGACACAATAACTGAAACTTCGTCATAGGTTATTATTTGAAAGAATCTATTTATGGTAAACTGGTTTTATCTATAATACTTATAGTTTCATATGCTAATCATACTTCCCTAAGCCATTGTCTTTTCAAACCTAAGATCTCAGTTTAATTTCACAAGTTTGTCCCCATATTTCATTTGCTCTGACCAGAGCTTGCTTTATATAGTTCCATTCTTTTTTTTTTTTTTTTTTTTTTTTTTTATTTTTTTATTTATTTATTTTTTTAGAGGCATGTTTTTATTTGTTTGTTTGTTCGTTCGTTTTGTTTATACATTGTTTATACATGCACTGAGTACAGTCAGAAGCGCGGGAGGGCGAGAGAATTCACCAGAGCCAGAGCGGGGAGCAGAGCAGGCAGAAGGACCGAAGTACACTGCTGAGGGGAGCAGCGGGCGGCAGGAGAGGTCTGCGCACCATGTGGGACCCTCCTCTGGTGGCCGGGGAGCAGCCGGGGATCGAACCGGCGCCGCGGAGGCCGCGGGCAGCTTCGCAACCCAGCGCTCAACCGCTGCGCCACCGGGGAGGCCCTATAGTTCCATTCTTAATATGCAGTGATAAGAGTGTATATAATATCCAGATTTTTTTTAATGATTTATTTATTTTTGTATACAAGAACTGGGGTACAGGCCAGAGGTGTGGAGGGTGAAAGCATTCACCAAAGACAGTGGGGAACAGAACAGGCAGATTGACTGAAATACACTGCTGAGGGGAGCAGCGGGTGAGTCAGGAGAGGTTTGCTGCGCCATGTGGGTTGCTCCCTGGCAGGCCGGGGATCGAACTTGTGCTTCAGTGGCTGCGGAGAGCTTCAAAGGTTGCATCTTAACCCCTTCCAGCACCAGGGAGGTCCCAAGATTTTTTTTTTAACAAGGATAAGAAGAAGATGAAATGCATATACCTTGACTCCATGCTTTGGTTACTTCCATAAAACCACATTCCTTTGCTTACTGTCACCAAAGGACCTTCATGTACAGACTCTGGAGGACACATATACACAGAGGGCCTTCAGAGCTGGGACAAGCACAAGGGTTTTAAATACAGCCAGGAGCACAGCCAAGTACCATGTGTGAGCTACATAATACTTGAGGCTTTTAGGGAGAAACAGAATAATCTTTAGTGATGTCAGTTTCTATGAATGGTAGAGTTTTTGAGTCTGCTGCTGCTTTGACCTCCCAAAGGCTTTATAGCATTTGTACATTTGTACACTTGCACATTTCACTATATAACCTTTCATCTTAATTTAAACTAGTCCTGTGACCATAACACTTACATTTCCCAACCAGGTGAGTAAGCCCTCATCCTTTTCCTGTCTCTGCTGATTTGCTGACAAAACAGTGCACAGGGGCACTGAATTCATGGTCCTAGACCAGGAATTGACACATTTTTCGAGGTTTAATACACAGTGGCTGACACTTTTAGAGAGACATGCTGTGTATACTTTGATTTTGGTGTGCTGTTTTTTATAGGTGTAAAGCCAATATTGCCACAAATTTGTTTCCTGGTATAGAACTCAAAAGCATTTCACAAGCATGTTAGAAATGAAATCATCCATCTATAAATCTAAAAAATTATTTGAAAAGAAAGATTTTTTTTTAATATCAATGTTTTCATCTTTTAAAAATACTTTTATCCCTCCATCCTAAACCAAGTCATGGTACTAGGCAAGCTGTATAGTCCTGTGAACACATTATAAGCAGGAACCATGTTTTATCCTTCAAATCATAGGATCCTTCACATAATATTCACTAGGGGATCACCTAAATTACTCTTAACCCATTGGAAACTTTCCGCCAACTTTAAAAAGGAAAAAAAAAACTTGTAAGAAAAAAATGGTATAAAGAAGAACTCAGATTAGACATTAGCATTTACCGTATTTGACCTCCCTCTAGAATACACATTTTCTTCCTCAACTGTTTTTAAAAAGTAATTGACACCAAAACATAACTCCTAAATACTTTAGCCCATCTAACCTGTCCATGGGAGTTAGTTTCCATGTTCTACATAAAGTCCCAGATAACAGAATTTTGAGCAAGTAGATTGGCTCTTTTATGAGACCCACTGGTTTCTCAGGATTTTAGTGACACAAATGAAAAGGCTGAAAAAAGAATCAGATATGTTCACAGATATGTGTATATATAGATGAGAAATGGCACAGAAGGCAGGCAGGTGAAATGTGGAGTTTCAGTAGTGGCACATGAGGATTATAAATTTCTATATATAGTTAGATAAGGTTACTAAGAAGGAGGGAATTAATTGTATGGCTGCCTAGAGGAAGAGCTTTGCAGGCAGAGCTAGTATAAAAGCCCTGAGGTGGGATTGTGACAGGCAGGTTTAAGGAGTGGCAAGGGGGCAGGTGTGGCTGGGGTGGAGTGAGCAGGAGGTGAGAGGTAGTGAGCAGCTAGATCATGTGTGTGAAGGACTGTATTTTCTCCATGGTAGGTGTAATTGGAGGTTTTTGAGCAGAGGTAGTCAAGATCTAACATTTAAAATAGTCAGATGTAAAGAGGGCATGAGTGAAAAAAGTAAAGGTAATTAGACGTCTGAAATTCCAGTGCACAGAAAAGCTGTTTAGTGTAGCAATGAAGGTGGTCAGTATCTTGTCATATAAGTTTCATATGAGGATTTGAGGGGCCCAGTAAGTAATATTATTTTCCCTATCCAATTTGGACCTGAGAGTTGGATGCAGTAGTCAGGTCAATGAAGATCAAAGTAAGTATTACTAATAAAACTCTGGAGAAAGTGGCTTCAGAGTCATATTTGTTCGAGTCACTATTACTCCACCTCTGACCTAGACTATCAGTTCAAGAACTCGACTGGGCAGACTGCACAAAAGGGCACAGAGCAGCCCAGGGCATACAATGGTGGCAGAGTGCACAGAGAAGGAACTAGAGGGGCCATGGGTGACTAGTTCTCCAAAGAAAATCTCAAAAAATAATCACTCTTCAACTGGTGGAGTAGATAAGTCAGGAGCATTACTAATAGAAATTGGAAACATGAGAAATGGGAAATGTTTTTTCTACTAGTAACATTGTCTTTTAAGTATATTCTTACGTGAAAAACTTTTATAAATGACTTTTATAAGCTGTGTGTATGTGTGTGTAAATGTTCAAAATAGAGAAAATAGTATGACTCCCCATTTTTCTTTTACCCATATATAATAATCTATATATATACAAACACCCCCTAATTTGTTCATGGCAATATAACACATTTTTGGTTAACATGTAAACCCAAACAGATATACAAAAATAAAAGAAAAATTGAAATTGAAGAAAAATTGAATTAAGTTTTGAAGTAGGTTTTAATTTCAAAAGCTATAATGTATTTACATGGTGTAGCAGACTTCTCCTGTCTCACTCGCTGCTCCCCTCAGCAGTGTATTTCATCAGTTTGCCTGTTCTGTTCCCCGCTTCTGTGTCTGGTGAATCCTCTCATCCTCCTGCACATCTGGCTGTACCCTGGTTCTTGTATAAATAAATCTTTAAAAAAAAAATAAAAAAAAAATTATAGTGTATTTAAGTGAAAACCAATTAAAACTGATTTTCAAATTGCATTTGAAGTTTTAATGAAGCAAATACCTTTTATCAAAATTGAAGCATAAATATATCAATACAAACAAAAAAATTCCCACTCCAATTAGATTAGGTTTCAAAATACTTGTTCTACAGGTGGAACCCAGAGAAATGAGTAACAAAAAACATTTAGAATTAACTCACGCTGAAGTTCCAAAGCTAATTTCCAATTCACAGAGCTAGCTGACAATTGTATAGTAGTTTGAAAAAAGCTCTTCTCCTTGCTTGATATCTCTGAGTGCAACAAGAACAACACATCGAAGTGGGCTGAAAACAAAAAGAAAAAACTACAACCATTAGCAGTAGTAACAGATACAGGTTCAAATTTTTTAATATAACCAACATGGGTTTTATAAGTGTAATTATTCAGATTTCTCACTATCATTTTAGCTTATGTATTAGATTCATAAGGAAATAATTCTTAACCCTGATGGAGGTATTTTAGAGTATGTTTCATGTAATTTAAGTTTATACAACAGACTTTCTTTTGAGAATTTTGTTTTTGAGATTTTTTTTTTTGAGAATGTTCAGGCCTCTGAAACTGGTATAAAAAGCATGTTAAAATGACATTCATCTTGCAGGGAAGAAGGAGAGAGAGGGATCAGAGGGAGGGAGGGAGGAGCACAGAGGACTGTGGTGATGATGGTGCACAGTGCATTGGTGAAGGAAATTCTATGGGGACTATACCTGGGGGTAAAGGGGAAAGCAAATATTGTTTAAAAATGAATAATAATGTAAAAAATAAAATGACATTCATTATAGTTTAACATAAAAAATTTATTTATATCTTTGCAGTCTTCAAAACTGACATGCAAAATGAACTAGAATTCTAGACCATACTATTTATGGACACACAAAACATATATGTACACCCTCAATGTCCCTCCTTATGTAACTTCTCCTGTACTTGCTCACCAGCAATGACATTACCCCAGAGCATTTGGCTCAAAAAACCCTAATTGTGAAATACACAGAGATACAAAGTTACCAACTTTTAAGTGCAGGCAACAGTGAGTTTTAATTTTATCACTTACTTTAAAAGGAAATTAAATCCATACAAAACAAATTTGTAGCAACTGGCAGCTCAGTGAATTGATACAAAGGTTTTTATCTTCTTATGGCATTGTAATAAAGAACTCTAAGTTCTAGAGAATTATTTCTATTAAGAAATTTTAAATTGACTATTCCAGTAGAATTTCTACTTAACGAGCAGCATATAAATGCTACATTGAAAATATGTACCTTCTTCTCAATATTTCCCCCTTTTTTTTCCACTGCAAGTTTAGGAACAGGGAAATAAAGTGAAACAATGTGCATTTGGCCCCTTTCTTTTAGTTAGAGCTCTCATCAGAGGTAGAGAACATGATCCTTACAATGATTAAAGTCAAACAAACTGTTTGAAGATTGTGTAGTATGAAAACAAGAATCACTGGGAAAAACAATTTACACTGATACTTGCAAAGTACTACACAGAATGAAAAATGATAATAAGCAAATGAGCTAAGTTAATGGAAAATTTTTAATTTCAAATAAGGCTACATTAACACATCAAGGTATGATAAACATAAAAATCTAAGTTGTAATTTTAAAAATCTAACAAAAAAATTATCACAAATTCTATATAGCTTTTTCTTAGAAAATATGTATTTTTAAGTATAGCATAAGACAGAACATAGGAATATCTCTTCCAGAAAACTAACCTTTGTTTGTCATAGTTGTAGGCAATGTTTGGAAGGTATTGCTTCAGTTCTATAGGGAAAACTGCAGGCACATCAAATTCCTGATAACAGACATTAGCTGCTCTGTCTAGGAACAAGTACATGCTTTTTATAAACAGAGCCATTTTACAAGATCATGGAAAACAATCCTGAAATATCATACTTGATAGGTAGTTTTCTAAGTTAACAGAACATGTTCAAATTAATAATCACTGTTATGTTCCAGGCAGGCTAGATTTACTATGCAGGCCCGATAGGTCCTCACTTAATCCTTGTTAGGTTCTAGGAAACCACAACTCTCAGCAAAATAACATACAAGGAAGCCAGGTTCTTCAGTAAACTATTTTGTTCAACTTCTTCCTATGTCTTGATGACTTTCTAACTTATAAAGATGATGTTATAATGATACAATGTAATTGAAATAAAGGACCTATTACATGTTTCATTATTTACTTTTTGGAGATAAGGAAACAGTGGTTCAGAAAGGTTAAAGGTCAAGTAGAAGTGTCAGACTGTCTCCCTAACAGCGAACATATAAACTGAATGTAGCCAGATGATACAACTTTTACTTATGGGAAGCCCTAGAGAAGGTATAAGACTCACAAACATAGCAAAGAAAGGGATTCCAGTCATGATTAATCCATAAGGCTACATCACGGCACTGACAAAGTAATCCAAGTTAATCATAGACAAAATGCTAAAATAATAATCAAAAGGGCAGCTGTTATCCAGAGCCTCTATTTACTGCAAAATTAGAAAAAGTAAATAAAATAATTCCAATTAATGTATATCATTTTTCCAAATTCTCTCTTTGATACCTGCTCTCAAAAAGTTATTATTTAAGGGCCTCCCTGGTGGTGTAAGGGGTTAAGTCTCAGCACGATGAAGTTACTAGTAGCCACTGCAGCACCAGTTCGATCCCTAGCCAGGGAGCTAACCCACATGGTGCAGCAGACCTGACTCACCCGCTGCTCCTCTCAGCAGTGTATTTTAGTCAATCTGCCTGTTCTGCTCCCCACTCTGGTGAATCCTCTCACCACCCCCCCCCCATACCACTGGCATATATATACCCCAGCTCTTGTATGCAATAAATAAATAAAATAAATCTTAAAAAAAAGTTATCATTTACTTAAGGGCTTTAAATGGCTGAGAGAGTAAACAATTGCTTCTGGTCCTCAATCATGGGCCAAAGGAAAAGAATTGCCACTGCTGTATTACTATCTTGTCTCACAGCCCCATCACACCAACTTACCATTTGAACAATTGTTGACATATTGTCCTACAGCCAGTGGATTATGAATTTCTGATGTTAGCCATGTACTATCACTCATTTTTAAAGGACCAAGTTGATCCCTCCCATTGCAAGATCTGAAACAGATGAAAGCATTAGCTAAGGGATTATTCTTCTGTATCATAAAATTCAAAATATAAAATTAACCCTAGAACTGCACAAGTACAACTTCTCTTAAAAAGCTTTTGTCTAATCAATAGGGTAACTGAACTGCTACAAAGCAGATGCATAAATAGAATTTTATTTAAAGTATAAGTGCCATTGGTCAATCATTGTGATAAGTGAAGATTCTGTCTCTTAAATTACAACATGGTCACCAACTTACCTGTATACAACTTTTGAAATTCCTTTGTCATTTCCATCAATGAGTACCCCATCCAGGCATCTAAAAATAAATGGGTTTCCAATGGACTGGAAAAAGATTGGTTCATACTTCTGATATACTGTACCTAGTATACAACAAGACAAAGATATCATAATGTATTATAATACAAAAAGCATAAACAGCATAAGGACCTTTGTCTGGAACATAAATGGAAGAACTTGTTTTTAATTTCTCTACCTTTTGTAACATTTTACCTCCTATCTGGACCATAACTATCTCTTTGGCTAACTGCCTCCCTTAAAAAGCACCCAATAGCAGATGGAGCACAGAACCAACCTGTTCACATAGTTGAATAAAATATGACCCTATTCTGGCTAACAAAAATGTAAACACAACATTTTAGATTCAGTTTTACGAAGTTGTGTTTTCAGTAGAGTATGACTTGATAGCTATTAAGTCTTTCAAAAAATACATTAACAAACACATGCTATAACTATACATGGGAATAGATGAATCTGACATTCAGTTTGTTTCCCTTTCACTAACAGTGGAGGAAAGGAGAAAATGAATGTTTACTGGGTGCCTCCTATGTTGCAGATATGTTAATCTATTAAATTTATTTTAGTATTGTTTGTTGCTAGCTTATTCTATCTTATCTTTACAGAGTTGGTCAGTTGTATAGGAAGAAACTGAGACACACTTGTTTAGGAACATAAATCAGAAAATAGCAGAGTTACTTTGGAAACACAGGTGACTTAAACACTCACAGTTTTTCCCACTATACCAAATAATAAAATATTAGTTTAATAAGTAAAATAATCTACTGAACATTCCAGTCAATGATGTTTGGCAAAGAAGCTGCTTTGCCTTCCAAGTGTAGAAATAGTGAGAAGGTCTTCATTGAATGATTTAAATGGATTTTAATTCATATTTAAACCCAAACCACTTTTGCCTTTAGGTATCAAATTAAGCCAAACTGACTTATTTTCTAGTGCTTTCTTAGTAGATCAGGTCCTTGAATAAAGTCGTTTCACTATAACATTGATAAAAAATTCCAGCCAACCTTCAACAAAATGATATTGGAGGAACTGATTTCATCATATGTCTTTTCACTTAAAGTCACAGTTCCTAAGAACATACCAGTGATAGTGAGGATTTATTACAAAATAGGCCATACTATATTATCTGAAATTTAAACCAAAAACACTCTCCTTAAAATAAAAATGCATTTATCGCAACAAATACTACCTGATACTTTACAACAAATAATTTACAAATAGTTAAATTCCATATCAGTATCTTTAAAACCTGGAGATTTGAGCTTCCAGTTCAACCCCTTACTCTAAGAATTACAAGGCTGGGCATTTTGTTGAAATTATAGCTATCTGCAGAAAAGAAGACATGGCAACTAACAGTGCCATTACCAGGATACATAGATACAACCGCGCCTTTTGGCACCAATCCTTTAGTAACGAAGACACCCTTTCCAGCAGAAATCAATGAACTAGTTGCTCGAGAAACACTGAAACCCAATGTCTTATAAAGAATTTCTTCTGGTTTAAAGATATTTTGCTGTTGATGTCTGTGTTCAAGCAGTTCCACCCTTGGATGCTGAGCTGATAGTAGGTCTTGATATTTTGATTTAACAGATTCTGGAAGCATAGTCAAGATATCTGACTGCTTATTGAAATCATTTATGAACAGCGCCTGGAAAACTTTCAGTAATGTTCCTAGGACATCTTCATCTGAGATAATTTTGTCTTTGGATTCCTCTGGAACATATCGGAGGGTCCTGAAAACAGGAAAAGTTTCTATTCACTACCCTTCAACTGATAAAAGTCAAAACAGTCTAGAAGCTTTCTGAGTTAGGGAAGATTATCCTCCTATAAAGGGCGCTAAGAAGTTTGGAAAGAACTGATGGGGACACTTCTAGTTACCTAACTCCCGACAGCACTTTTCAAGTTAGCAAAAGTTAATATGAGAGGCCTCTCCTGTACCAAATGCTGTTTGGGTACTTACATTCACCATCTCATTTTTACAGGCCAGGAAACAGAGACTTGGAGATATTATGGAATCGCCCACATCTAAAGCCAGGAGAGCCAGAAGCAGAAACAGAGCTAGCTCTTACCCTTAGCTTCCCCTATTCACAGCCATTATTTGCAAATGATCACATAATAAGAATCCCTATATTGCAATGGCTCTTACAGTGCAGTTTCAGACAAATTTACATTATTACCTTCACCTTCTCTCCCAAGAGCACTTGTTTTTTTTAAGATTTATTTATTTATGCACACAAGAACTGGGTGTAGGCCAAAGGTGCACGAGGTGAGTGGATTCACCTGAGTGGGGAACTCAATTGCTGATCTACTGAAATACACTGCTGAGGGGAGCAGTGGCGGAGACAGGAGAGGTCTGCTGCGCCATATGGGCCAGCTCCCTGGCAGGGGTAGAACTGGTGCTGCACAAAGCTTGACAGCGCTGTATCTTTAACCCCTGTGCCACCAGGGAGGCCCCCAAGAGCACTTCTTTAATGACTGCAAAACCTTTATTTCCGTAAAGGTGTTATTTTTACTCTTGAAGAAAAAAGTTAACAATTACTGCCTCACAATGATGCATATGAATTCCCAAGTCTGTACTAAGAGAACTTGGGGCAAGCTCCTTGGTTACTGAAGGCCCTTCACGGAGCTAGTGCCAGTGAGCAAAGAATTTTTTCACGTCCCTTTAAGACTGCGGTAACACTCGCCCCAGCACCACCCACTCCGAATTCAGATGCATCATTCAGGGACCGACTCTGTGTTGTAAACCCTACACTCCGATGTGCTTTTAGTGCCTTTTTGCTCGTTTTTATGCGTCAAATACTCTAAGCTGTTACCCTCGCAGCCGAGCTGTGAAAATAAAACTCGGTTTGACTTTTCCAAGAAATTTCAAGCTCTTAACTAAGGATTGGCAGAGAAGGCCATTCACGTAACGCAGTGGGAGCTGTCTTCTTTTTCAAAAGTTTCTCTTTTCTGGCCAGACACAGGCGCCCCAGCCAGCGCAAACCGCAAAAGCTAGAATTTGTGCCACAGCAGGAGAAAAGCCCGGGTCGCGTAGACCTCGCGGCGCAAGGTACGATGGGAAGCAAGCCCCGCGCCCACCTGGCGCTCCACCGGCTTCAGCCTCGCCCACCTAGGGCCTCGCCGCCACAGGCCACGCCCACCTATGGCTCCGCCCACCCAGTGGCCGCCCGTAGCAGGCCCCCGACCGCCTCGCATTCCACCAGCCCCGGTCTCGCCCGCCCACCCGGGCCCTCCGCCCACTGGCTCCGCCCACTCGGGCCCCGCCCACCAGCTCCGCCCACCTCGGGCCGGCCCGCCCGCCTCAGGCCCCCTCCGGCCTCTCCTAGCCCCGCCCGCCCAAGACGCCACCCGCCGCGGCCTACCTACCCCACTCAAGGCGCGGGCCGCTGAGGCTCCGCCCACCCGAGGCCCGTCCGCCCTGAGGCCTGTAGCGGCGGCGGCGTCGCGCGACGGGACCCGGACGCGTCGCGCCGGCCGCTTCGCCCGCTCACCTTGGGTTGTGCCGTAGGTTCAGCGCGATCCAGGGTACGAAGCGGTACTTATAGCGGCGCCATCGCTGCCACAGGCCCCGTAGCGGGCGGCCCGGCATGGCTGCCCCGCGGCGCCGCGACGAGGACGGCGCGGGAGAGGTGGGTCGCGGCCCCCGCCCGCCCGCCCGGCCGCCCGGCCGCCCGGGCCCGGCCGGCCGGGAGGAGCGGAGGCCGCGCTGTCCCGCCCCGCGCTCCCCGCCCTCAGAGTCGCGCTCCTCCGCGGGGGCCGCCCGGCCTCCTCCCGCCCTGGGCTGCGGTTCCGGCCCGTGTTGCCCGCGCCTGGCGGTGGACATCTCCTTATTCCCCTTTTTTTCTTCCTTTTGCTCGTGTATTTTCGCGCGCGCGGGCACACACACTGCTAGGACAGGGGGAGACCACGCGTAGTTTTAATGGGGACACGCTACGGCCCTGCCGCAGTTACCTTCAGATCAATAGTGGAAGGAATAAATGTGTTGGTTTCCTGCTCTTGGCCTGGGAGTGCGGATGAATTGAAATATAAATTGGAGCTGGAAGGGATCATGCTCAGCGAAATAAGCCAGAAAGGAAAAGAAAAATACCGGATGGCCTCACTCATAGCAGGAATTTGGAAAACCTAAATAAGGGACCAGGAAAAAGACTAATTATAATAAAGTAAAAATGAAAATCAACAAGCAATTATAAACCAGAGACCCTGGGGCGGGGGAGGGATTAGAATCAAAATAAGGGGGGTGGGTGGGAATTGTTTGGGGACTATACGATGAAAATGCATACATTGTGCAAAAATGAAAAATGATGTAAAAGTATATAAAAAAATAAATGGAAAAGCTAGGACCTAATGAAAATTCAGGCAAATCCTAGTGGCCTTGGGTTAGCTAATGTGTGCTAGTCCATAAAGAGAAACGATAGAAAGACTGTCGAAGTCTATGTCACTGTAATATACAGGATATTGGCAAACTCAAGAGGTTTTTGCCATCAGGTGCTGTTTGGTAACTTGGCCTAAATCTAGACTTACTTGATTTGCTAATTGCCGTTTATTCAATTCCGGGATGTGTTAATAAATGGTTTCCATGCAATGGTCTTCAAACTTGAACGCAAAAAAAATAGATAGTTGAATCTTTACCTATGGTAATATGCTTATCTTTTTTAAAGCGTTTTTTGTATATATTCTTAGTGCCAGTGCTTTTAAAATTTAGAGTATTAAAATTACCTTTTCGTTATCTGGCAAGTCATAAAAACATTTTCCTTAGAATCATGGTGATAAAGCTAAAGTCTTCTTTAATCAAACCCTATATCCTGTACTTACCCCAATCTTGGTCCTATCTGCTCTCCTCAGAAGTTATCAGGGCGATGTATTTTCTGCCAGTCTTACTTCAGTGTATTTATTTACCTGTATGTTTCTGTGGAAAAATACAAATTTCTATATAAGTTTCTATAGCTACATAAAAAATACAGGATTTTGTGTTTTTAAAATACTCAAGTATCTGCAGCTTCTTTTATTGATTCAAAAAATTTTGCAGTGCATAAGCATATTGTGTTCTGTCATTTCTAAGGTTTTACCTTCAAGTTTAGTATTTACAGTAATTTTTTGGTAGGTATACTTTATGGGTTTGAAAAGTTGTTTTTGGTTTGTCAAGAATTTTTGTCTTAAATTTTAATGATGACTATCAAATGTTTTTCATTGCTCATTATTGAGATGATCACATGATTTCTTCTGTTTTGTTAATGTAGTGAATTATAACATACTTTTTAAAAAAATCTTTTTTTATGCGTACAAGAACTGAGGTACAGGCCAGAGGTGAGGGGGTGAGAGGATTCACCAGAGACAGACTGGGGAAAAGAACAGGCAGATTGACTAAAATACTCTGCTGAAGGGAGCAGTGGGCAGCAGCGGAGAGTCAGGAGAGGTCTCCTGCGCCATGTAGGTAGCTCCCTGGCAAGGGGGCAGGGATAGAGCTAGTGCTGCAGAGGCTGTGGACAGCTTCATAGGTTGTGTCTTAACCCATTGCGCCACCAGGGAGGCCCCTGTTGCACCATTCTTGAATTCCTGAGGTAAGTCTACTCAGTTATGAGTACTACTTTGGTTATCCTCTGTAGGTTTTTTTATGTTTTTGTTGTCCTACTGCATCTATGTTAAAGTGTTTTTAAGATTTCAGGCTCATGACTTGTTTGTAATTTTATTTTCATATTTTGGTATTCAGTCCATGCTGACCTCATAAAATAAGTTAAGAAAGGGTCCCTTCTCTTTTTTTCTAAAAAACAATATTTATATAAGATTAGTATTATGCCTTCCTTGAATTTTGATAGAATTCACCAGCAAAACCATCTGGTTTGTAGCTTTTTTTGGTGATGACCTCCATTTCTTTTAAACATGTAGGGTTATTCAAAATTTGTGTTTCATCTTGTTTCAAATTTGGTAACTTATATTTTTGATGGAATTTGTTCATTTCATCTAAATTGTCAAATTTGTTGACATAAAGTTATTCATAAATAATTGTCTTCCTTTTTATGTCTGTATGATCTACATGGTAATGCCACTTTCATTCCTGATTTTAGTGATTTATGTTCTCTTTTTTTCCTCCATAGTATAACTGGAGGTTTGTTGATCTATTCAGTTCAACAGTTTTGGCTCTATTAATTTTCTATATTAGCTACCTATTTTCTATGATCATAATTTCTTTATATGTTCTGCTCGGGAGTGAAAGTGAATGTTAACCTAACCTGAGGTGAGGAAGGGGAAACAAATGTACACAATTCTTTTCATAAGTTTTTCTGAAATGAAACTAAAGGCAGACAAGTCTGGTAAGACTAAATATCCTCTAGCATTTTTGTGTGCTAATGAGAATTATTCAACAGAAAGAAAGAAATTGAGATGGCTAGGTAATTTCAGTGTACAATTTTTGAAATGCCATGGGAGCTGATTCATTGCCCAAGTGGAGAGGTTGTTCTCTGACAGGAGACTCATCTTGAACTGTAGCAAAAGAGAAAGCAGAGTGTAGGCCCCACAGAAGGTGTGGTAGTGGTTTTCACTGGAGAAATATGAGGACTAAATCTGAGCTTCTAGTTTCTCAGTAAACTATGAGGCAGGATTTCACCTGAGAAGAGTTAGCACTGTTAAGATCATCCTTTAAGTTTTACTCTGCTGCCCTCTTCTGGATGTTCAATAATTGCCTAAATTAATTCTACTTCTGGTCAAGTAGTATAGGCTTAATTGACACTGAAATATAGGGAGTCACTTAAAAAAAGAAAAAAAGGAGGAAATCAAGTTAAAAAGCAAAAAGAAATACAGATCAAAAATATGCAAATTTAGAAATGTTCTCTGATCTTCTTATTTTGAAAATTACTAACTTATAGAAAATACAGTGAATAACCATGTCTTCTATGTAGGTTCACAAGTTGTTAACATGTAATATTTCCCCTATCTATTTGTCTGTCTACCCACCTACCTACTAATGTAGGTATATATGTATTTATATACATATGTCTGTATAAGTACAGATAGGTAAAGATAGATATCTGTATATATTTTTTCTTTCCATTTGAATGTAAGTGTCATATGTTAGCTTCTGAAGAATAATGACATTTTTCTACATAATCCCATTACCATTATCACATCTTATAGTATCTGTATTTATATTTCAATATATTTAAATACAGAATCTATATTTAAAATTTTCAAACAGCTTTTATAGCTGTTCTTTGTTTTTAAAATTGGATCGAAGTTCACAAATTACATTAGTCTATTTAAATCTAGTCTAATTTATTTTTATTTATTTATTTTTAAGGATTTATTTATTTATACATACAAGAACTGGGATACAGGCCAGAGGTGTGGGGGGGTGAGAGGATTTGCCAGAGACAGTGGGGAACAGAACAGGTAGATCTACTGAAATACACTACTGAGGGGTGCAGGGGGGGGGAGACAGAGGTCTGTTGCGCCATGTGGGTTGCTCCCTGGCCAGCCAGGGATTGAACTAATGCTGCAGGGGCTGTGGATAGCGTCAAAGTGCTGTGCTTAACCTCTTGTGCCACCAGGGAGGCCCTAAATCTAGTCTAATTTAATCTACCCTATCTTTTATCGTATTTCATCACATAAAACTTTATGAAGAGATTAGACCTCATGTCTTGCAAAATGTTCTTTTTTTCATCATAGAACAAATGTACACAACTCTTTTAATAAGTTTTTTTGAAATGAAACTAAAGGCCATTGTAGACACGTACCATCCCTCCCACAGACTAAGGCAGGATGATAATATCTCACAAATGCATCTTCACAACATGCATGACACCCCCTTATTGACCTTGCCCAGGGCCTTTAGTCAGGAGTGCTACTTCCATTGCAGGCTGCATTTGATGGGTACTATACGGCTATGTCAGCAAATTTCAGTCTCTCCTGATCTGTAATTTTTGCTAAGAAATCTTTTGAAAGCCTAATGGGGTGACTTTGTAGGTTATGCCCCCCCCATTGTCTTTAAAATCCTTTATTATTGGTTTATGATGGTTTATTATAATGTGTCTTTCAGATGGTCTTTTTGCATTGAGATAAGAAGGTGTTCTATTAACTTAGTGAATTTGTATATCCAGTTCCTTTCCTAGGTTTGTGGATTTCATAGCTATTATTTCTTTAAACCTCATCTCCTCCCTTTTCCTGGTACACCCATATCTTATTTTGTCTCTCCTAGTGAAGTCTTATAACTATCACCTTTTCAAAAATCTTATTTCTCATTCCTTTCCCACCTCAATAATTTAAATACTTCAATAATTTAAATACCTGTTTTTGAACTCTCTTATTCTTTCTTCCATCTGATCAGATGTGATAGGCTTTATTTCCAGTCCTTTGTAATGCAATCTTCATCTCATTTATTGAGTTCTTCAGTTCCTGATTTTCTGTTTTTCTTTTAGAATTTCAGTCTCTTCGCTAAAGTAGTCCTTCTTTTCATTAATTTTATTCTTGAGTTCATGGATTTGTCTTTCTGAGTTTGTAGCTTGTTGAGTTTCTTCATTAACAGCTATTTCGAATCCTTTATCAGTTAGATTACAACATTCTGTATCTTTGGTTCATTTGCTACAGAATTGCCATTTTCTTTTTGCGATGCCATTTTACCTTTTTTTTTTTTTTAAATATTTATTT